TGTGAGTAAACTCAGGCATGTAACAAAGGATGCTGTACTGATTGCTTTTGAAAGTAGTTCCTCTCTATTTTGCACTTGTGAGAGATTTACCTCTCTTACCCCTTGTTGTAGGATATTCAGAAAAGAATTGTAACACTGAGTAAACTGTTTTACTGTTCTCAATTGCTAAAATGACTTTTTTCCTTTCACAGGAACCTTTGTAATCATGGATCATACTTCCTAGCAGCAAATTCAAGCTTATGTGGCTTAGCAGCAAATAATTTCTTCAGGAACATCCTAAATATCAGAAGGGCTTCCTTGGTGTCTGCTGTGCCAATGGCTGTTATTCCATTTCTTTCAACAGCAGCAGTTTATGAAGTTTTTGTGCGTGGCCCTTTATTTTCAGGTAAAAACCTCTTTATTCCTTGTTTTCAAAAGGGCTTTGCTTTCCATCCACAACATAACACTAGAGGAGCTTTTCTTCCCTGCAGAGCAGTGCTCTTGAACTGTTGCGGTCTTGAAAAACCTCAGTTTGTAAAGCAGGGTGTGAAAAACAATGCATTGGGCAGCAGTGAGTTCTTGAGGTGGAGTGGGAAAGGAGATACATGTTTATGTAGATTTATAAAAATAATTCTGTTACACATGACTTGTTTTTAGATTTTTCACTCAAAGTCATGTAAAAGCAACTGCAACAAAGCAGCTCAGTTTCCCCCGTCTGTACAATTTTATTTGAAGGTCAGCTTTAGAGTGATAAATTCTTTGTGAGTTGGAATGGGAGTGTTGGTTTGTTTTGTTTTTTGTTTTTTTTTTTTGCAAAAGGAAGAGTCCTCCTTTCATAATTTCTTGCATGCCTGTACAGCGTGGCAGTTTCTGTCAAGGGCCTCTTTCCACGTTCTTGCACACAGCTTATAAATTGATGTGGTGGAGCATGTGTGGATATTGACTGAAATATCGTTTGCTGTGCAGGTCAGCTGAACTGTGAGGTCTGTGCTGTGGTCAGAGGAGGATTAGTGGGGGCTGTTGTGGGTGCTCTCTATCCTGCTTTCCTGGCTCTCCCCTTGAATGCAAGCCTTGCAGCCAGGTATGTCTTATTAACCTGTAATGAGTGAAATGTATTTATTGGTTAAATCTTCCATTCTCAGAGTAAATTCTGTGGAATTTAAGTCTGTGCACACCTGTCTTCTTGTAGGCATGTAGTACATGGGGAGGGGATTTATATTAAGGTCATCTAATTACAAGGTGAAGTTTGTAAGAGCTACACCAAGCCTCCAAAATGAAACAAGATCTGCAGAGCAATCCACTGTGAAGCACTTGTATTTAACTGGAACCCTACAAGCCACCCCGGATGTGCCTGGCTGTGGGCAGTGGTGGCTGCCATCTTGCCAAGCAGTGAAGATGGCTGGACAGCTGAGAGACCTCAGTGACCCTGGGCAGTGCCTGGCAGCCAAACTCCCTGGCAGGTGTCGTTCTCTGTAATTCAGAGCACAGTGAGGCTTGGCAAGACTCAGTACAGGGTCAGGATGTTTTATAGCATTTATCCAGAGAGCTCAGTACCACCAGGTGAAATTAACTTAGGAGAAGAAGGAGAAAATGACTATCTACCTTAATATTTATAATGTTAAATCTTGATACTTGCATGGCAAAAAGAAGTAAGTTTCTACCGCTGTTTATGTTGTTTAGGTACATGTCATCTCCCTTGCCAGGGAAGGAAAATGCAGTACGCTACTGGCTCACAATCACTCAGCCTGTCTTTAGAAAGATGAGTCTGGGTATACTGGTACAGTGTCTAACTGGATTATATCTTGCCACTAAACAGCACGGAATATATGTCAAAATACTACAGCAGATGCACCTTAGCAGGGATCCTGAAGAGCTAAAATAACTTTTCAATTGCCTTGGATAAGTAACCATAATAAACAAGGAAAAGAAGTTGTTGCTTTCTGTCTTTCTTTTAATAGAAAAACAAAGACTCTGCACTGACATTTTTCAAGTTTTGAACTTAAATGCAGGTTAAGTTTTTTGTTATGCCCAGCTTAAAGTATACATCTGAATAACAGCATTATAGACAGGTGTGTTTGTTTGGAAATGGGGGGGGAAAGCATTTATACTGCCTGCTTAGTGTTTGGCTCTAAGGTGATGCTACATGTTTTAGAAGCTCTTAAAATGAGTATTCTTGAAAAATGCTTTTTCTTCATAATGCAAACTACTGAAATTATTTTTTTTTTTTTAAAAAAGGGGGGATCATGGCAAGGGTTTTCTAGATACTCCTCAAAATCTGAGTATTCTTCTCCCTTTTCTCCATTCTGCTAGCACAAAATTTCTGTCACAAGATTACCTCCTTTAGGCTGTTATGAGGGTCCCACTGCACACTGAACAGAACACTGTTATCACACAGCACACAGAGTGATACCCGTGTCAGGCTTCCCAGCATACGTATCAAGCAACCAAAAAACAGTCTGGTCAGAGCACACTTTATCCTTGTTTTGCCTTGACATTACTCTTTTCATGAAGGATGGAAGTGTGTCAAGGCCCCTGAGGGCTGGTGTGATATCCCAGCTTCCTCAAGTTCTAAGATCAGTGGTCTAAAGTAATGCATTTACAAGTCAGGCATGTCTTCACATTGGTGACTGTATTGGTTCTAGAGCAATATAAAGTGCCAGGAGGAATTTCTTCACAGAAGGCGTTGTTAAGCATTGGAGTGGATGGCCCAGGGGGAGGTGGGAGGCCCCATCTCTGGAGGTGTTCAAGAAATGACTGGATGTGGCACTTAGTGCCATGGTCTAGTTGAGAAGTTGGTGATTGGACTCCGTCTTTTCCAACCTAAATGATTCTGTGATTGTAAAAGCTGTACAGTTACTGGTCAATTCATGTACACTTTAGTAAAATTCTAGTATCCCTTGAGATGCATGTGGAAATATTTATTAATTAGAATTAAAGAATTCAGCATTGAGACTAATTGAATTGGGTTAAAAGTTATGCTGTAACACTGATGAAAAATATATTAAGGAGTTTCATCATGTTTATCTACCTTTTCCTTAATAATCTGTCATTACAGCAGGAAAATCACCCACTCTATTTCTCTATAACCAGGAGTAGCAGCCTGATTTGTACAGGGAAGCAGCAAACACAGACTACCTGTTTTTACACAGAGATAGTTCAGTTTCCCTTGATTCAAAGTATTACTGTGCCATATGGGGTTCCCATACTGGTCTGCATCTAAACAGAGAGCTTGGCCTTACCTTAACCACCCTGACTTTGGAGATTCTCACAGAGCAATTATTTTACATGACACTGAATTGTCATATCTCCAGAAGCCATCAGACTTTAACCAACAGAACCACTTAACTGCGATAATAAAAAACATAAAATAAAGGTGTTATTTTGCAGTAGTATCTTTAAGAATGACTGTGACTGGTTCAGTGATTATTGCATCCGTTTTTGATGCTGGATATCAACTTTACAATCTATTCCACAGCCCTCTGCAAATGATGTGCCCATCTTCCTGGTACACGCCCTAGTCCTGCTCTTGGCATCCTCCTGCTAATGAGCACAGAATCATTTCGCCACAGAAATTACTTCCCCACATCTACATATCCCACTTCAACCAGGCATAACACTGTAGAATCAGCAGCTGGCAATATGCAGTTTTGGTACAGGGTGTTCTTTAAACTGAGTCCATTTGAACAGCTCCCATACCTAACATATCCCTCAGACATTTTACAGTCTAATAGTAAATAGTAAAAATAACCAGAACATTGCTGATTTCAGCAGAAAACCTCTTTAAAAGCTCTAGAAAACACGGAATTTTAAAAATCAGTAAATGTACAAAAGGCCTTTGTGTTTTGCAAAAGATTCCTCTGTTTCACAGGGAAAACTGATAATAGTTTTGACAAATGGAATGAGAAATCTGATAATCTGGAAGTCCAAAGAGATGCCAAGCTTTAGAACAGAGTTTCTTGCACTTCCTCTGGTATCATCTCTCCAGGCATCTACAGATTGCAGAAGCACTGATTTGTTTTTTCCTGCTGCAAAGCTCTTCAGAGGAAAGACAGAGAAGTTAATTTAGAACAGTACTAAGAGTCACAGCACCAGAATCAAACTATAAAGGACTAAAGGAAAACTGAGCATTCAATTGTTTCTTATTTAAATACTTTAAATGCTACTTTGGTTGACTCTGGGGTGGAGAAATACTGAAAAACGTAGCTACATAGCTACACAGCTCAACACAGGCACCACTTAGTTCTGTGGTACGAAAGTTTAACAAACACATATTCCAATGCCGAACAGGTTACTTTCTGCAACTACAGGCCAAAAAGGCTGAGCATGCCAGTATGCTTTTAAATTTTTACACTATTTTTTGTGAAACGTTCCTTTTCATCAAGCTGCAGACCACTTTCACTACAATGCCTGCATGTGGAAAGCGCTATTTTAAACTGTCCTACAAATAAAGCATTTAAGATGAACAGAAATCAAAAAGTACAGTGCATGGCTCACTCTGGAGCTCTGAAAATGCCTTTTCAGCACCGTCAAACCTTTTGTTTTAAACACTCACTCCAGTGTTTAGTGTGGAAATACCAATTTGATGAGATGGTGATTCAGCAACATATTATTGACCAGTCATCAAACTTCAGAGCCTAAAAATAGGACAGAAAGCAGGAAGATGCCAACAGACCACGGAAGGGTTTACGTATTTTACTCCTCCATGGTATATTGATCAAACATATCCATATTTAAAAAAATTAAGAAAGAAAAACAACTATAAAATACAAGAAGTGCTGATTCTCAGAAGTACAGCTCTATCTGCAGTTCAAGGAATAACACCTTTGTCCTTACCACAGAATTATCTCTCAATACAGATGAGCAAGAACATTTCTCCTGCATACCCTGACCCATTTTGTCTTGTTCTCAGTGGATGACCCACAAAGAGAGCAGAAACAGCATTTTCATGTTTTCCCACTTTGTTTAATGAACCAAGACATTAGTGAGAAGAAAAAGATGAAAAAACATTTGAGCCCATAAACTGAAAGATCAACAAGTCTGATTTTATTATGATATTGCATTCTTATCTGGATGGCACATAATTACAAGGAAACATTTACAATATATTTTCAAGTATTAAGTTTTTTCATTTCAAGGCTTTCACTTCAAAAAGCTACATTAATAATACACCATACAGATAGTACAGTCAAGAGTTTCAAATAGCTTCCTCCCCACTATTTGGTTTAAATATGATTCAGTAGGCACTACAAATGCCTGCAGCCACTGACTTTCTTGGGACTTAACCTTGTTCTTATACCAAAATACATCGTTTTGCATGTCAGAAAATCAGCTGCTCTCAGACACAGCTCACAGGTCGTGTCACGACAGAGCAATGTGAGGGTTCACACAGAGACCAGAAGAACTGAGTCCCTGACCCTGCCATTTAGCAGTGATGCGACAAGAAAGAATGCATATTTAACTTAAAAACCACTTCTACACTGAAGTAACTGTGAAAATGCCACTGTAACATCCTATACTACATTAATGGTTTTCTTTTTTCAATAAACTGCAAAACAAAGCATGTTCATGAAGTCTGAGCTAGGCAGGTTGAGCCTAGGTTGAATCTAAATTATTTCCATTTTGCATATCAGTCAGTGCAGGTCCTGGTGGTTAACTCTGACTCCCGTGGCACGGGTATAACCCATCAGTTACAGCAGTTACCCAATTTAAGACTGAAACTTTGAACAGCCCTGCTGATCCACCACAGAGGTGTAAGGTAACACATATCCCACTAAGTCTCTTTTGTGCTGGCAATATACCCTGAACAGATGGAATTCTACATACAGTGGAGTAAAACCTGTTTGATAGGATATTGCCTTTAAAAAAAAAATAAATCTTGAATGACAGTAAATGATCCCAGCATTCAACTTTTTTCTTTTTAACCAAAGACAGCAAAAGCCCTGTTACCTCTTTATTCTCATTTCTTATACTACCTTTTAAAATAAAGCAGGAAATGTGGCCAGCAGCTGGTCCCGTCTCTTCTGCCCCAACACAGCTGAATCCACTTTAGCATAAAGAAAAACAAGGATGCTAAATACACATATACTTTATCACACAGTGATGTTTCACAAAGAAAATCAAACTCCTTTTATACTGATGAACATGTGATAGGGTCTAGCACCAATGAAGCAAATGACTGGGAGAAAACACTTTCACCTACTTAGCCTTAAACACAAAATTTAAGGCTTTAAGAAACAGTATTTCAGAACCACTAAATAGATTTTTTCTTAAGAATTTAATAAATGAAACTGATCTGGAAAGTATTCTTTGTGAAACCTCACTTTACATATTATCATTTCCACAATCCTTCTTCCCCCAACTGACATACATTTAAACAACCTAAACATTATAATACAACTGAAAAAAGAACCCACTCATCTTTTGTGATAGGGAGAAACACTGATAACTACAAGAAAACACACATTATTTGTTCGTCAAACTATTCTTTCTCCTATTCTTTCTCAGTTAATTGTGGAGCATTTTTCAAATCATTAGCCTCAAGATACATATTTGCTTATCTCCAAACTGTGCTTAATTGTATCAAGTTATAGATTTCTGGATACTGTAAGAGGCTAAATTAAGAACTCTACAGTAAAATTAAGCACATGCATATACACGCAATATTTTTTAGACTTTAAAGCTACTCTGAAGTAACATAGGAATTTCAGTGTGCATGGGCACAGAGATTTACTTAAGGGAAGATAAAGTAACAAGTTACTTCGATGCACTGCATTCTTCAAACCCAGTTCTCGTTAGAGGTCCATGCAAAAGACTGACTCCTCTACATGAGGATTCCACTGTACAGATTTAACTAGTGTTCAGGTTCTGTTTAATCAGGCATAACCCTGCATCATTAATTAGAGCAAGCTAGAGAAGGACTTTTGAAAGGTACTGTGCATCCTTAACGCTGGACAGTATTTTAAACTAACAGGTCACAAATTTATTTTTTTTAAATTAATTTAAAAAGCAATGTACTTACACTTTTGGGACAGTCCCCTGTGATTAAAGCTATAAATGCACATCCCCTTTATTAGCATATTTTCCCCTTTCAGCTCATCAGATACTTGGTTTAACAGAAAATTTCTATTTCAAATGGCATGAGCATTTTTTTAATTCCAAATGTAGCTGTGTGTTGGCTATGTAGTGAATGTATCAGTTTCAAAAAGGAAAAGAGGAAAACAGCTAATGAGAATGATGTGACTGTAGCTTTCACTATTAGTTACCATTGAGAGCTAGAAACATTTCGGCAGAGTAGGCCAAGGACCAGAGAAATTATTTCCTGAACCAGTCATTACAAGAGACTGGGATAAGCAAAGCAAGCTGTCTGATACCGCATTATGGGAATATATTGATCCTTACCAGGTTGCGAGGTGGAAAACGACTGTTCTTTAACCCCTACACAACGGAGCCTGGCAGGGCAAGCACCTAAAAGAGAAACTGTCAGAGAGGTTTTAATAGTAATGTATAACTGAGATGCAGTACAATTTTATATGCATGCTTTCTTTTGCCGATCATTACTATTTTCTTAAGTCTGTCCAGTGACGATGGAGTTTTTGGTTTGGTTTTCTAAGCAAGCATTTTCGGCTCCTCAGGAAAGCAGGCTAGACATTATCTGACTCAAGACCGGGTAGTCAGCGTTATCTTTACTGCGAAGCGGAGCCGAGCACACCTTCATGCATCGGGTCGGCATGATCTTTTCACCCAAGTGCTGCGACCGGGCTCCGGCGGCACCTCCGCGTGTGCACCACGCGTGTCAGTCTGCGCGACCACTGTCGCACTGCTGCACACAGCTCTGCGCGACTCCTAACGCCAAACAGGCTCACACCACTACCGTCCACACGCCAGATTCACAGCACCTTGAACCAAGGCCACCGTCTGGCTCCCAACGTGCCGTTCGAGAGGATTTTTTTTCTGTTACCCTGGCCACTTTAGTGCCAGGTCCCCCTTCTCTGCATCTCCCCCAATACCACCCCATCACCACTGTATTGATTCTTTTCCTCCGCACCATCGCCTGTTTCCTCCGCCGCGACGCGAGGCCCTTAGGGGTGAGAACCCCACGAGTACTTGCAGCAGGTACTTGACCCTACATTTTGAAGGAGGCCGCCGCCCGCCGAGCACAGATGGAGCAGAACTCCACCGACACCTGATCCCGGTCCACGTGCAGGCAGATCCCGCCGGGGGCCGCCCACTCCTCCTCCGCCTCAGTCCCCACGGCCGCCTCCTCCAGGCCGCGGGGCCGGGGGCTGGGCAGGGCGTAGTCGTGGTCGCTGCTCTCGCCAGCGGGCTGGAGGTGCTGGTGCTGGCGGCGGGGGCTGCCCGTGTCCCTGAAGAGGCTGGTGCTGAGCTGGCCAGCCGCGGGGCAGCGGGTCCCGGGCCAGGCGGCTCAGAGCTGCCCCAGCGCGCTCTGTCGTTCGCCAGCACGTCCGCAGGGGTAGCTTGCTCTCCCGCTCCAGCTCTCGCAGGCGGACCGGCTCAGCCGCGGTTGCGGTTCCCGCAACGGCGGGGTTCTCGGCAGCCAGGCCCGCAGGCGGCTCGTGCCAGCCCTAGCACGTACTGGCTTCTTCTTCAAGGCCGGTTCAGCGCGCCGCCGCCGCCGCCTTAAGCCGGCTGCCGCCCCGCCGCTCCGCCGCCCGGGCACCGCCGGCCGCTGAGCCCTGCCGGCGGGGCAAGCGGCTCCGGCTCCTCACAGGAAACAGCGCTCAGCTCCGCCTCCAGGTCCCAGTCCGGCGGCCGCCTCCAGCAGGTCTCCAGCTCCAGCCCCAGGGAACCAGTCCTCTTGCTCCCACACCTCCAGCGGGCCGCTGGTAGCCCGGCCTGCCTTTCTCCTGCCGCGCGGCTCCGAGGCGCCCGGCGGCTGGGCCGGGCGGGGCGGGCGCCGGTCCCACCTCCCCGCCGACATCCCGCCCTCTCGCGGGCCTGCCCCGCTCCGGGCAGCGGCCACACGGCACCCAGGGCTGGTCCCGCCGGCCGAGGCCGCCAGCAGCTGGCGTGAGGCTGTGGCGCATGGCGGGGGGCGGGCGGGGCCCGGCGGGACGGGAAGCGACCGATGCCCGAGGGCAGAACCGGCGCGAGGCTGCGGCCCGCGCTCCCGGCGCGCGGCCTGTCGGGAAGCGGCGGGAGGGGGCGCGCGCTCTACTGCGCCCGCGCGCCGGGAAGCGGCGCCGGGCGAAGGTGGAATGGCGGGGCGGGGAGGGAGGGGAACCGTGTGAGAATGGGTGCGGAGGGCATTTCAAACCGGGGAAAATGTAAACATTTGCTTAAGAAAGGATGGTCTTGGACGTTTGGTCTTCGTACACTTTCAAGCCTAAGCAGCGAGAAGGGAGATTTAGTCAGTGAAACAGATAGGCAGCAGGCAAGCCATCTCTGAGTGATGTCCAGGTGCTAGAAAGACAAATTACTTGTCGGTAGAATTGCTTCGTTAAGCTTTAGGGCTTGACATGCTTCAAGGATCTCAGACATAGGGGGAGGTTAACAGAGCCTGGGGAGAAGGATGTACCACTGATAGCGGACACAAAGAACGCAGAATTTACAGGCCACAAGGGCATCTGGCAGAACTCCCGAGATAAGAAAGAAACCAATAAACCCAACTCGGCAATTGTGCTGAAATCAGCTCTTATGGGGTAATTCCAGCAGGAGGCGATCATGACTACTGGCTCACAGCCCACTGACCCAAAAGAAGAGAAAGACAGCGTGTGGACTAATTGATATGAGAAGCCAGAGAATCATTAACCAGTGGAAGATAGAATACCAATTAATAAGAGACCTATGTAACTTGAAGCCAATGAACACTAATGCCTTTGTTTGCTAAAATGTATAAATACTTAAAAGTTTTGATAGTTGGTGTGCTCAATTTGTGGAACACCACCACGCACCCAGGGTTCTGCAACTCTGAAATAAATAACATCTCTCTCGGGTGTGTAATTATTGGCTTGTTGCATACCATGAATCCAATTTTTGTGGACAACAGGGTGTGTGAGAGTAGGGGGTGGCTATGAAGGGAGGCACATGTAGTTGACAGGGATGAGAAGTGTATAGGAGATGGAGTTTGGGGTGTATGAGGTGGCGGGGGGGGGTGATGGGTGAGGGAGTAGGGAGGAAGGTCTCTCACTCACAGACATCACCAAGGAAAGGGAGGAGGCATGTCCCTGGGGACTGCAGGATTTGGGGGCTTTCCCACCACCATGCACAGAGGCCTGTGGGACTGTTCTGTCACACAGTGAGTGGGTGTCCTCTGCCCAGATTTAGAGTATTTAGGCATCTGGTCCCAGACTCTTTTGCAGTGACCGCGGTGATACAGTCACTCTTCCCTGCCTACCAACTGTTTCAAACAGAGCAGCCAGCTCTAGCCCTGCTGTGTCCCTTCCTCAGACCATGAGTCTAGTGTGTAGCCTCGGTCAGTTGGCATTTACACTCTAGATGCCAGCATTAAAATTAAATGTGCACGTGGGGTGGGCACAGAAGGGGGAAGTATGGTTAAAAAGTAGGAGGATGTAGTCCATAAAACGTGTGGAATGACACTTGTAGGAGCCAGGATCAAAAGAAATGCTGTGGTTTGTCATGCAGCAGGCAGTGAGAAATATTCAAGGAGAATGCAGGGAAGTTCAGAAGACAAGTCTGCTGGAAACTACTACTTATGTAGAGTCAGAATCACAGAACAGTTTGGGTTGGAAGGGACCATCTAGTTCCACACCCCCTGCCCTGGGCCAGGACACCTTCCACTAGATCAAGTTGCTTAAAGCCCCATGCAACCTGTCCTTGAACACTTCCAGGGATGGGGCACCCACAGCTTCTTTGGGAAACCTGTGCCAGAGCTAGAGAATACATCTGGTTCAGTAAGGCCTTGAGATGAACAGGTCACAGGCTGGAAGATCTCCAGACCTGCTGTTTCTGATCACTTCTGTACACAAGATCAATAGATACCAAGTTTGATGTGATGCTGTGGCTTTGTAGATGTTCAGGACCAAGAGATACTTAAGCCATTATCTAAATCCTTGAGTTATCTCAAGGTATATGCATGTGGCAAAGAACTTGGGAACTCCAGAGGCAGCTGCCTGCTGCCCTGGTGGGGGATTGGCCCGTTATGTTTTGTTGGGTTTTGTTTGGTTTTATTGTTTGGTTTTTTTGTTGTTGTTGGAGGCTGAAAGAGCAGCAGATGAACCTCAGCAGCTAAAAACTACCTCCTTGCCTAGGAGACAAGCAAGAGAGAGTGGGAGGTCTCTGTATCCCAGAATGCTGACAGGAAAGTTTTGGGTTTTTTTGGCAAAAACTGCCAGACATACACAAAATGAAAGGGTGTATCACTATTTTTCTACAGAAAGCACCTAAAACCACAAAAAAAAATCCTGGCAGAACATCCAGAACCTCAATCTGGTTCAAAGATTATTGAAATCACTCAAAAGACTTGACAATTTATTTTGAGCTGAATGGGCATATAAATAATGCTACTGCATTAAACAAGATTAAAACAACTGCAGAAAACTACTAGAAAACTGTGGTAGAACTACTAGAAATCTATACATGGTAATTTGCTTGGCCATCAGTTGTTGTGTATTACTTGTTCTTGTATTTAACCTTTAAGTTCCTGAATTATGACTGTTTATGATGGAGACATTGCAAGGTGGGATTTCTTTCTTGGAGCTTCAGTGTTGCCTCTTACACGCCCAACCTCTGTTGAACTTTAAGGAAGAATCAAGGACAAAAGGCTAAGGGTTTGAGCTTTTGGCCATCTCAAAAAATAAAGTGCTTTTAACTGTAAAAAAAAAAAGAAAGAAAACCTATGCTTCAGCAGAGAGTAGGAGCAAACTGATAAAATTCCTATTTTACGTTTTCCACACTAATGAATACCCATTCAGATTTAACAGTGTAGAGATTTACTTAGGTAAAAGTGTAATGACAAAAACCAGTCCTTGTAGGGAGGTTTAAACTGGTGAGGATATTACAAAGAATCCAGAAGATGGCCCCACGGAAAGGAACAAAATGCAGCGATGTGTTGCCACAGAGGCACCTGCCAAGGAGAGAACAGTGGAAAATGATGCAGTTATGCAACAAAGTGACGGAGTTTGACATTCAGTGTTCTTTCTTTAGTCAGCAAGTCCATGCTGTGCTTTCTGTAAGCATCGAACCGCAGAGAGAGCTCATTGTACGCTTGCTTGCTACTTTCCAGCTGTCCTTGGAGCTGTTGGACCTTCAGATCTTTGTCCACTGCTGCTGCCTCTTTCTAATAGCACCTTCCTGCTCTCAGCATGGCTTCTTCCGCAACCTCCAGCTTCTCCTCCAGCTGCTGAATCTCCCGTTCCTTATCTTGCAGAGCTTTACCCCTCTCCATGGCCAGGTTCAATAGCTGCTCTTTTTCCTTGTGTGCCCTCTCCAGCTCAGCCCACAGTTCGGTGCTCTGAGCCCTCTGCTGACTTTCTGCCTGCTCTGCCCTTGCAACAGCTTGTTGGTGCCTCTCCTGTAGAAGTTGCAGCTGCTTCTTCAGTGAATCCACTTCCCGGGTGTAGGCACCTGCTTGGTGGCTCTGAGCTTCTAGCAGCTCCTTTTCTCTCTCCTGGGCTCTGCAACTCTCATAAGTATGCTTCTCCTGCAGGGAATATAACTGCTGTGAGAGCTTCCTGGCCTGGGGAGCCAGCCGGAGCACTTCAGCTTCCTTCTCCCTCACAGCCTGGCTGAAGAGCACTTCCTTCTCCTGCCGAAGGCGCTTGTTCTCCTCCCACAGCTGCATGTGCTGTTTCCTGTGTTCATTCTTGAACTGGATCATCTTTTCATGGTTGTTGGCCAGATCCATGAAGCGCCCCTCCAAATGCTGAATCTGCAGGGTCTGAGTTTTAATTTTCAGAGCAGCCTCTGTCCTTAGTTTCTCCAGCTCCATGTTGAGCTGCTCCAGGGCTCTGCAGCGTTTTTGTGTGTCATCTGCTTTCATCTGCTTTCTTTGTCAGCATAGACATAAGATGATGCTGCTCTTCTAGATGTCAAAGCATCAGTACTTTCTCCCTCCTCTCCTTAGAGATATCACAGAGTTCTTCCAGGCCTTTTGTCAGATCATCCATGTCTTTGCCTGTCTCTAGATCACCTGTAGAGTTGGCCATCCCTGCACCTCTCTCATCCTGAGCCATGGAGCCGCTGTCTCACACAAAGACAAGAAAAAATGTTATAGTGGCTGCTTCTCTTAGTGACACTCAGCATGATTAAACATTACCCAGTGGTTGTGTGGCCAACACTAGTGCTATAAGCTGGTGGAGTTTCTCTGGAAGTCCGGAGATACTGATATGGGGGGACAAGACCTCCCAAAACCAATGTCAGCCTGAAACCATACAGCCCTATAGCCCTCCCCACATCCTTTGGTTCAGAGTCAGGCAGACTGAGAAGAAGGTTTACAGACTCCATGAGCAAAAGCAAGGATATAGGCTTAGTATTTATGCAAGCCTATTCATTTGCTGATTTAGCTTTGCTAATTATTCCTTCTCAAATTCCTGCTGCTATAGCCACAAGAACTACTATCATATTTAGGTAAAAAGCTTGTAAGTGATAAATCTGTAAATAATTCCTTAAGCAATCCTTCTCCTTTGCCTTTATTTTCTCCTACAGACTCTGTATTATAACTGCAAATAAAGAGAGGGTTACATCAGACTTCTAATTAATTTGTGAGATTATAATAGTATATTACTCATTAAAAATAACTGAATAGTCTTATGTCATGCTTAAAGATTTATGAATAAAATAAGAGATCTATACAATGCTAATGATTACTGAATGCCCTGTGATACAAAGACACTGTGACTGGAGAAGCAGTTCCTCATTTGAATTTTGACACTGATTTGCTGAATTATTTAAGGCATATAATTTTAAAAGGCTGTTTCTTCTAAATAAGGGAAATATTTGTATTACATAGGCACCCAAATGATTATTGGTGCCAAATCACACAGTATGCTACCCAGACATTTGAAAAATTAGCCTAAAACTCATCTACAAGTTTTTCATGTGGACGCAGACCTGAAACTAGACAGCACATGAAACAGCATGCTGATAATCAGGTTTTGTGAATTCCTGGGCTTTGACTGGAGATAAAGATAGGATGTGAGAAGGTACCAGTTTAAAGCAAGGATGAAAAATAATGTACAGCAAAAATGGATTAACAGCTGTGAAGCAGGTAGAGTTTCAGAGCTGTGTAGTAGTGACCATCAGTACGGACACCAGTTCTGTCTCCACTATCCCGTACTCTCCCACTGCTACCTTGGATCCTGCCAAAACATTTCAAAATAATGGAGAAGGGGGAGAAGGACTGAGAGGTTTAGGCCATCCAGTGGAAATACAATAAAGAGCAGGGTTGAAGAAGAGAAAACTATTTTCTTACCAGGTATTTTCTTTCCCCTGTCTGTTTGTTATCACTCCTGCTGTGAGGTTCTGTCTCCATGGAGGCGAGACACTGAATTCAGTCACCCCAGAGCTCATGACCTCATATGGGCTGGTTGGAGCCGTGCCAGCCCCACCAGGGTGGCTGAAAGAGCTGGCAGTGTTTCTTAGCAAACAAACATTGCTGATACTCTCAAAACCACACAAATTTGGAAAAGGAAAGAGAACTTCCACAAGCTTGGAGAAGTCCTCAATCTTGGCTTTTAATCCTGTGAAACTGTAGGTCATGTTAAAAGCAACATATGTTTTCAGGTGAAAAATTAATTCATATAGGCAGTGAATACAAATAACTTAGGTCCCTCTTTTCTAGAATCACCACCCTTTCAGGAGTGTCTCTTTAAGGATATAGAATCAAACCAACTGCTGTTACCATTTCAGTACAAATACATTGTTCTGAAGTGTCATATGCACATGTTCCCTGGTCATATAAGAAGTGCATTTGTCTGGCAAAGTGGAAGCTGTGGCAGCTACCAATCATACAAAACACCCGAAGCAGTAAGATATCAAAGACTTGCAACTACTTTTGGCGTTTGTGAACTCCACAGGCTACCTGGTTCATGAGAGTGAAAGTGGGTTCCCCAGCAGGTTGAATAGCACCTTCCCTTTTTCCCATTCATAGTGTATAATAAATTCCAAGTAGCATTTAAATTTCTAAAGTTAAATCAAGCAATTGAGTTGGAACTGTGAAGAGCTCCCTTCTCCCGTCTAACTGGTTTTTAGACATGCACAGTTGGAACAAATAAATGTGCATTTATTTTCAAAAATATTTTCTCTCTGCATTTTGTTGTATTGCAAGCTGAATGGTTAACATAAACCACTGGGGTTTAATAAACATTGAATTACTATTTAGTCTTAATAGGCTGCTTTTTATTTTAAAAAGTAATACATCTAGTACTTCATGCATTTATTTATTAGTAGCATGCATTTCTACAAGTTACAAATTCCAGTCTTATTTCTTATGCTGCAAAACTATTTAAGCCAAGACCACTATAGTCCCACCAGTCCCCTAATGGTGGCACTGAAGCACAGGTAAGTTACTTCTTGTGAAAAACCAAGCTAATAGATACAGGTACAAACAAGCACACTTTGAAGAATAAATACTCAACATACTTGTCATCACTAAAATTGGCACAGTTAGATCTTTATGAGTAGCACTAGGAAAAAAAAAATCATCTTTATGTCTTCAGTATTTAAGAGTAAGAATTGCAGACTAGCAAGATGATTAACACATATATATATAGCAAACTTTTTAGAACCCTGATTTTTTACAGTACACTGGAACTTAGTCCTCTGCGCATTGTAGAATGGGACATCAACAGTACCACTTCATGCCATGCTTCTTTCACTGGAGAAGCAGCTTACATATCCTAGAAATGTACAACTACAAATTTACATAATGTTCTGTGGGCAAATGTTTAATTTGAAATATGAAGTGACGTATGACATCACAAAACCAGAACGGCAACAGAGCAAAAACTGTCAAAGCTGCTACTGTGTTCCTCTTCCAAGTTTTATCCCCTGCACCTTCAATTTCATTCCCGAGGTTTCCTTTTGACTAGCAATTAAAAAGCCACCTTATTTTGTCAATTTTGCAACCATAAGCATCCTGAGAGGTAGTGTATCTTCTATCCAGGTGTTTGGAGAGTTCATCATCTTCTCCCAAAGGGCAGTTTCATCTGAAGTGGAATCCATCCAGTCTACTCTAGTTCCATAGCTTTTGCCTAGAAAAATGTCAGTTTTAAGAGAAACACTACTTAATATGCTGCAGAGTTGAGAGCAGACAATCAAATCTGCCTGCTCTAAAATGATTACACCTCCTGAGGTAGCTGACCTAGTGCTTTGGAGATCCAGTCCTGCGTTTTTGCTCTTGAACACTTCTATCAAATACAATTAGTCACAGTTTCACACAGAGACTTGTCATCTTTCTCCAGACTTTTTTCTTGTTATCCTTAATTTTTGTCACAATCTCAAGGAGAAAGATGTTAATTTCCCACACATCTGAGAAGATTTAATAACAAAACAAGATACTGATTTTTGTACTGAAATGGAACCTCGAGTATTCTAAAATTCAAATTGAGATTTACTATTCTAATTTGTAATTTAGGTTATTCTGGTGAACTATGTAAGAAGTTAATTTATGAAAGGTAATTTTTATATTGTATTTTTTGAGAAAACTCCAAAACCATCTTCCCTTCAGACCAGAGAGCAGAATGAAAGGGACAAATAGAAGAACAGTATGTTTTTACTGTTGTTATATCTGCATGTCTTATATTCCTCTTATGCTAAAAACTTATTTGCATTTATAATTTTTCCTATTCAAGATTTTCAAATCTTATCATGCATTCCTCATCTATCCTTTTATTTCCACCCCATGCTGTCTTTACACCACACACCTAGTTTTTGCACGCATAAGTTTGTAAGATGTTATCACGATTCTGGGTGCAGGAATAGCATATTCTTGTAATCAAAACAATACCAGATACAATGTATGCCCAGACAAAGGTTTATTTCTAATATTTTGTCCTAGTTGTCAGTCGTGCTAACACTACTATTATTAACATTTCAGGACCTGCGCTGAAGAATAGGTAAGCTTCTGAATGGAACCCTTCAGTAAATAGATAGCTGAAAGGTTATTCAGTGATTTTCTCAAAACAAGAAGAAATGGAAAGGAAATAAGGAAAAAAAACAGGAAAGACTATTTAATAAATTAAGTATTAATGTGGTAATTGTCCAGTACCTGTTCCAAGGCCTATCCGGAGACCTCCCAGAAAGTGGTTCGCTAGTTTGTTGTGGTCCCAGACTGTGAGTTCTACGCAGGCTTCTTTCAAATCTTCTGGTCTAAAGCCATCATACACCATGGTGTGGTTGAATACCGGGTTTGTAGTTTTTGCAACTGTCCTTGTTTTCTGGCGACTTTTTCTGCTAGTGTCTGGAAGAATGGTACTTCAGAAAGAAAAAACACTGTCAGTTTGCACTTATACACCATAGCCTGCATTAAACATACTGGAAAGGCAAAAGCTACTGATTAATGTTGTGCTTGGCATGTTAGAACATGACTGAAGATCAGATGCTTTTTGGAGATGAAGACAAGGGTCATATTCTCAGTTCCTTACAAGCAATACTGGCAGCATGTATCCACCCTTGTGCTTCAGAGGATGGAAGGGCAAGTCAAGTGGGGAAGAGGTACAAGTGACTTTACTTGCTGTACTATACTGACACCAAAACCTTTTGTTGCTGCCAGAGATTTCCCCAACCATCTTGTTATTCTTGTCTCTTTACATTTTTAGTCTGTATATGAAAAGGAAGGGGGAAGAAATACAGCTATGCTTCTCATTTCTGTCTCCTCCCATGGTTTGCTAAGCTAAACCATAGTCTTGCACAAACACACTTTGTTTAAATGCGAATAAAAGCAGGCGGAGTTTGACCCGTCCTTCCACCAAGTAACAGAGGCAAAACTAAGGTGCAGTGATTACACAGGACATTCTCCCAGTAACTTTTACTTGGTGGTATATACTTACCATCTTGAAGTTGCAAGCCCTGCAGGAGAATTTGCGTGACAGTAAGGGAGAATTAGAAAACAATTCAGTGGGTATTTTTTAATATGAATGTAGAAAAATGAAGATACAATTAGAAAACGCAGCTGTAGCATTATTAGTCCACCATGTTTGATGCCTTCAACAATTCTTACCACTTAATAAAAGAGTTGAGCCTGTTTCCTCTCAGAAGAGGAAGGTTATGGCATTCCTTCACCCAGATGTGGACCTCACCAGTAGATGGAGTCTTCTTTCCTGTAAAAATAAAACAAAACATCTGCTTAAGCAGGTCACTTTTAAAGGTAATTTCTATGATGCAGCAGTTCCTGCCCATTTGTAGAGGTGATATTCAGCCTAGACTTATCTCACATCTTAATTCAACACTGCTCTCTGTACTCTGGAAGCTGAAATCTTCATCCCATCAAAGTAGTACAAGATCACATCATTTCTGCATTCCTACAAAAAATTTTCTTTTATTACAACGAGCTACTAGTCTTCTCTTTCCAAGCCTCCTAGATAAGGAGATCAGCTTGTCTGCTATGTGATGTTGCTATGTGATGTTAGCATTTATTGCTGCTCATGCTTTCAAAAAAGCTCCTTTGTGTTCTAAATATATTTGATTATTATTGACTGACTGACTGACTGTCTGGATTAAAGACCTGGCCTGGCTTCACTCTCAGATTTGTCCATTGTCAGCTGTCAGACAAGATTAAACCAAACAGATCATACTGCTATGAATTTTTGCATTCTAAATACTTACTTCTATTTCCTACATCTAGTATTGCTTCGATTCAATGTGTTGTCATTGTTTATTTAGCACATCATAGCCCTGACTGATGATTTATAATCTCTAAAATTATTGAGAAAACAGAATTTTATTACACATACATTGCACTACAAAGCTTAGGTTATAACAATGAGCTAATTTCTTCCATAGTAACCTTAAAAATAGCAAAAGATCCCAAAGTGATCTTTGGGATCCTTAACTGAATTCACAAGCAGGGTGACTCAATCCTCTAGGAATAAAAAAGAAAATCTACTTTTTGTTAAAAAAAAGATGTCTGAAGTGATTGAAAAACATTAAACAGATTTTTTTAACTAAAAAAAAAAAAAGGAAAAAGAACAAAACCCCCAAAGGCCTGACAAACCCAAGCAAAGCAGCAACACTTACCTCCAATGGGGTGTGGGACATACTGGAGTGCTAGTTTCATCTCCCCTCTGTTTTCTAGATTAAGAGTCATTGTTGAAATCTGAATTAAAAAATTTAAAAAAATAAAATAAAAAAATCTCTGCATACCTACAAATCTCAGACTTTGCAGTTCATGCACAGAGAGTTTACCATGCAAATTATTCCACTGGAACCAGCTTGACTTCTACATGAGGCAAGTTTTTTCTCTTGTTTCCTTATCAATTAGCCTTCCCTCAGTTTACAGGATGTGAGAGATTTTAGGGCATTTTTAATCACTTGACAGTGACTCAGATACATAGCTCTTCTACTAAAGCAGAAAACTAGACCCAGAGGAGACAAACAGGCTTTGAGGACACATTTTTCCACTGTTGTATGCTTATTTAAAACTATGAAATATATTCTTCCAGTCAGGAAACTTACTCTTTGTGAACAGAAAGTGCATTTCTATAAACTCATTTCTTTAGGAATGTTTGTCTCATTTAATCCATTTAAAAATCAGCCTCAACAAGAGTTATCTTGCAGAAAGGCACAAGAATATATCACTTCTTCATAGACAGTCATGGACCATCTACAGATGGAACGTGGCACCTGTTAACATTTGTTTACATTTGCCTACCCAGAGCAGCTTAAAAATTAGTGAAATTAAATTAGTGCTAAAGACTACCATGTTATACCTGTTTTGTTCTGCAGATTATGAAACTTGACCAGAAAATACAAAACAGCCAACCTACCCTTGGCTTGAGGGGAAACCAGTTGATCTGCTTGTTGGATCGATCATTCCAGTCCCAAGTTCCTAAATCCAACTCCACTTCACCAAGGAAGCTGTTCCTCCCAAAGGTATCATTGTGCCAGACAGAGATATTAAGGCTTTGGTCCTTTAGGAGATCCTTCTCAATTTTATACTGCCCAGAGGAAGAAACAAGGACAAAAAATTAAAACAAGATGAATTTTTAATCAATGCTGTGTCTGAAAGTGATACAGTTAGAAAAAATGTGTCTGGGTTTATAAATCCATAACTGGTCATTTCTTCATTTCAGAAAACAACCAACCAACAACCAACAACCAACCACCAACCAACCACCAACCAACCACCAACCAACCACCAACCAACCACCCACCAACCAACCACCAACCAACCACCCACCAACCACCAACCAACAAAACCCAGCTCTTTCCTTTTTATTTCAAGCATCTTAAGACCATACTTGGCTTGTATTTGTTTGCAAGAAGTATAAAACAGTCAGTGTTCTCAATGCTGTATCCAGAGTCCACTGTAGAGTGAAGGACAGTGGAAGGACACAGTCATCTCTACAGAGCAATCCCTTTCATGCTAACATCTCTTTTGAGTGCATCTAGACCTGTGCCTGAAAGTTAAAGTTCCTCATACATCACACATGCAGTATTTAATTTCTAGTAGTAGTTTGATAAATACCCGCAGTATTTCATTATAGACTGGATTAAAAGTTTTCTTTTTGACAGAAGTCTTCCGTTTGCCCAGCTTGTATTTCTCTGGAAGCAGGTAGGTCTTTACATACCTAAAATTTAGACAGGCTTGTTAGAAGAGAAAAAACTCACCCTTCTCCAACTTCCTTTTCCAAAATTCACAAGTATTTGCTTATAAAGTGAAAGAAATCCACTTAGGTAACCATTATGTTGTTCAGCTTGTACATTTAAGAAATAGAACAACAGTGGTGATGTATAACATCACCACTTCCTTATAATACCCTTCTCCAAGGGAAAATCTGTTGAAATGTCTCCTCAACACAAAAATACAGAATATATAACTATAGCAGGCCCAGATATATTTATAGATTCTAATACTACCATCTGAAAAGTAGAATTTTAAAAGAGAATTTAATATTCTTAAAATTTTAAATTTCCCATATTAATATGTATACCATTTTATAGTGGTAATTCTATATTCAATCAGAGTGAAAAAAAAACCCACAAAGCATGTATAGCTTCTTCATCTGTTTATTGGGTTGTTTGCTCTAACAGGTTAGAGAGATTGGATAACCCCATCAGTTTTCATTTTCACATTAAAAGAAAAAATTCCATTAGAAAATAAATATATTCTTTGTACTTACGGGTCTGAGCGCTGTCGCTTAACATCTGCTACTGCCAAGTCTTTACACTGGCAAATAAAAATGTGGAGCTCGTTCAGCTGTTCTACATAATCAATAGCAAACTGAATGTTCCCCTTCACATCAACGTTGCCAAAGTCTGCACTGTAGATGCTCATTAGACTTCCACTCACCTGCATCATACAAGAGGAGAAAAGTTTTCCAGGCGTTGCATTTCACCAGATACTTCAAGATTAGGGTAGAAGTTATGCTCAGAATTCAGACAGTAAAGAAATCAACTGTGTCTCTTTGGATGTAATAACAAAATGTAATGGACACCATTTTACAAGCTCCTCAGCCAGAAGATTAACAAAAGAGAGATATTTTGAAATCAAAGGTGTTAGACCAAGTTTTCTACAAAAAATTTGAATGTGTTTATTGCATTGAGATAGAAGAAATGAAATTATAGGATGCTGTATATCTAGAGAACAGATCTGTGAAATATTACTTCTAAATCTCTTCAGCTGATCTTCCTTGCAGAAAGCAGAGCTTAAGAATTTAGGACTTCCGAAAATACCAACCAAAAGACTAGTGGTTAAAGTCTATATGACTGAATTATGCACCTAAATATGTAGCTAAATAAAACACTGAAAATTAAACACTACATATAGAGAAAGAGAAAGATGTATATTTTTTTTTTTAATGTCAACATCATTCCCAAAAATTCTACTCTTCCTTACTGAAAGTCCACATAAACGAATGACTTGTGGTTAGCTAATTCACTGACTCAATTACATATCCAACATTCCAATAATGTCTTCTGCTTTCACTTGTTTCTCCCCCTTTCTCCTTTCCTAAATGTTTGTTCTACATAAATTGTTCCTCATTTTCAGCTACAAATGTAAGTTCTTAGGATAAAATCCATCTCTCTGTTCAGAGTCCTGAACAGGCTCCAATATGTTACTAGAAAAAAGAAATTAAATCTATTTAATTTTATTTTATTTGCTTCAGGCAATTTCATGCAAGCAATTACGTTATGTTCATATAACAGAGACAGAAAGAAAGAGACAGAAATGCCAAGGGAAGAAAGACAAGAGGAATGAGAAGAGCGATGAAATAATATTTAAGAGATTAGCAAAAGCAAAGTGCCATTAAAACAAGGCTTTGGTTTACATACAGAGGATAAGGAGGCCATGCCAGAAGAGCCGCTAAGATTGGTTAGAGAGCTGGGACTCTTCTTGATTCTGCCAAAGGAATAACTGCTTTCTGATGCTGTATCTGTCTCTCTGTCATCACTCTACAAAAACATCACAGAAAGAAAGTCTGTGTATTTTCTTTATAATCACAAAGAACATTGAAAAAACAAAACCAAACAAGCAGAATTTTAATGCAGATTGAGACTCAGTGGAAACCTGAATTTAAATTCCCTTGTAGTGCGACATGAATAATCTTTCTTGAATTAGGTCATGCATTTAAAGTTGAAAGCAGATTTTTCTGATGAACAACATACACTGATAATTTTTTTTTATGCAGCAATGCAACTAGGTTCAGGGTTTTTTTGTTTTAAATCTCAAATAGCAATGAAAAAGTACAAAGATAAGTGTATTCGGACAATTATATTCAACTTCTCTACATCACTTTCTCATGCATAAACTTATGGAAGTGATAGTGCTCAGGTCTCTTACCAGTCCCTTTCTGCTACATAGCAAATGCTATCAGTTCAATGCCTGTATCTGGAGGGCAGCTGGCTGGAAGGTAACATGCACAGAACAGCACTGGATACAGCAAATGGGTTTTGCAAAGTCTTTCTTATAAGAGGGCAAGCAGGACCCTGCTTTTCCATCAGGGAAATGCAGTTTTGGTTTCCTTGGTCATTATCAGGTTATGTGCTTTCAATCCCATTCCATCTCAATGCTATCTCCACACTAAAAAATTGATTTATTTCCCACATGTGCCTTGGCATCTTCCTACACAAGCAGTTATGGACATCATCATCTCTCTGTTGTATTCCACCCACAAACAATTTACATTCCCCTCTCCGTGTAACACTTTTGAAATGATGTCATATATCTTCTAGTAAGAGATGCAAGATTAGTAAACAATTTCTACACACATTAAGGAAATGATTATTTATATAAATAAATATATAGCATATAAGCAGTTTGAATAAGTCTTGAAAAAAATCTGTTGATTGTAGCTTCTCTAGTTATGTCTATACTCATAAGTAAAAGGAGGCCAGGATTGTTTCCCATTTCAGAGGTTAAAGGTAAGGACTGACTAATGTCCATCCTACTTAGCACAGGGCTTCTTGATGGAAAATTGATTTGGAGAGTGCTATTTGGAACTGTACAAAATAAATCCAGAGACTGAAGTAACTGTTAAGCCGTGTGGATAATCAGTCCTGTTACATAGACTGTTTGAAAGACCGGAAAATCCTAAGTCCTTTTATAGGAGAGGGATAGATAGTGATTAGACACTTTAAACTAAGTGACTTTAGTGGCTTTAAACTGAATGCCTTTAAACTAACTGACAGAAGGTGGGTTTAGGTTAGATAACAGGAAGAAATTCTTTACTCTGAGGGTGGTGAGGCACCAGCACAGGTTGCCCAGAGAAGCTGTGTACGTCCTATCCCTGCAAGGGTTCAAGGCCAGGCTGGATGGGGTTTTGAGCAACCTGGTCTAGGGGAAGATGTCCCTGCCCATGGCAGGGGATTTGGTATTAGATGATCTTTAAGGTACCTCCAAACCAGACTGTTCTGTGATTTTGTGATCCAGAATCATAGACATAATAGACCAGACAGTTCAAGTTGCTTATCACTTTCAAACTTCAGTGTCATTTTAAGAGATTTGAATACGGCCTTGAGCTTGTTCCAAGGTCCACACTATGATGATGATAACAGCTAAAATCAGGAACGGCATGTCGTTGGGAATTTCACTTGAATGGAGTTAACAGACAGGTGCCTGAAACTATAATATTTCAGAGATGGAGCTTACCTCTTCCTGTAGGAATGATGGTACCGACTTGCTAAGTCCTTTAAGTTTTTCAGGGTTGGAAAACAGCTTATCAGGCTGTGAAGGCACTGTGGAAACTGAAGAGCAGTAATTCAAAAGGCTTCAAACCATGTTTGTACTTCAGAACAGTGAGATTCCATAACAGGACACGGTTAGAAACAAACCACTTCAGATGAAATACATGCACATGCACAATCAGTTTAAAACTTGGATGCAAGGGGGCTTTTTCCCCCTAGGACTCAGAGGAGCTATCATTAGGAAGAATAATCTACTTTGACGTCTCCTATAACACTTGATAAAGGACTTTGGTGGAAGTTGCTTAACATGATATACAAGCCTGGGTGCTACAAGCAAATTCTGATCAAAAGTAATAAGGCAAGCATTTTCAGTTTATCTTCTAGATTTTCTTCCTAGAACAAGAATAAGTGCATTCATGCACTAACCATGTCATCATCAATATTAGAATCAAGATAAGGTTCTTACAAGCCAAACTATGTTCTTTTATTTACTTAGTCTATTTAACAGCAAAAGGAACATTTGTGTAAATCAAGCAAATTTTAGAGCTGACCAAGGAAGTCTCAAGTATTCCTACTTAATTATAAGATGTATATCTCATGAATGATGCACTTTTTTTCAGCCCATCTCTACCACATTTGTATATCTCTACTGAAGTTCACTTCTGTGCTCTTTCACCCTACAAAGCATAACTGCACAAGCTAGCTTTGCAAAGATCCAGTTAGCAGTAAGCCCACGATTCTCAGAATTTTCCATGCTATAACCCCACTTACATGTAATGATAAACTAAAGCTGGACTGCATGCACATTGTGAAATGCACCAATACTGAGTGCACAGAGAATTATTTGGCAACTAACAGCCAGCTACAGGGGCACATATCTATTGCATAAAATGAAACACTGCACATGATGGGATTGTTTGCAAGGTGAGTGAAGTTTTTGCAAAGCTTTTGCTGTCGAAGCTCAGCTCATGCTCAACATACCAGTTATCATCAGTATGCAGTTAGATGCACGTCCAGATGTGTAACTTATTAGTTGTTAAATCAAAAAGTATTTTTAATTTATTAGTTTAAGTATCAGTGGAGAAGTCTCTCCACTGTCTGCTGGAAGAATCCTATTACTCACTTCCTGTTGCATTTTCAGTCCTCTCTGGATGCTGATCAGGTTTCGGACCTGGTCAGTGCAATGTTGACGACAGTCATTCAGTAGCACAGTTTTGCAATGTTATAAACAGCATCAATATACTTTATACGTGGGATTTGTTTTACTTCCCCAGGCCCCATAAACTTTGTGGGTTTTTATTCCTTCTAGTCTTTTAGTAGTGGTTTAGATAGTAAGTCTTTATGAGTATTAGGTGTTTCATTTTGATGCATCATGGAGCAAGTTGTAAGAGTAAATACAGAACTAGGGACTTAGTGGTAGACTTGGCAATGCTGGATTTGCAGTTGGACTTTATGATCTTTAACCTAATTTTTTTTTCCAACCTAAACAATTCTATGGTTCTGTTTCTGTGGTTTGCATCTCTGTTCTCCTTGGAGGAGAATAGATCATAACAAAGGTAATATGAGTGTGCAAGCTAAACAAAAATCAAGTTTTTCACTGTTCTAAAGGAACAGCCTTTTCAAGAGATTCTGTCTGTACAGCTATCAATTTGGCTGTGTGTAATTTTTTCATAACTTCACTCCTAATAAATTTAACTCAAAAAAACCTACTCCTTTCAGATAAGTCTCTACACATTGACATTGAATGCAAAACAGGATTTCAGTAGGGGTCTTCATTTGAAAGCAGAGTGCAGAATGGTGCTTAACTCTTGTTTCTTTGCTGAATGTTGTATGCATCCTAATGTGCTATGATTATACTCTTTATACTTTGGGCCAGTAACATGCAAAATGCTTTAAAGCATCTAAAACATGAAAAAAATGCAACTGTGCACTTTTAAAACTGTAGTGCTCCGATGCATTAAATAAAAAATTGTGTGTTATATTCCATCCTATTCAATGTTATTTGATGATTTTCAATTCTGTTCATTTAGACACGTTCTTGGAGCAAGTTTGCTTTTTTTTTTTCCTGAGATTTGGAATTTCCAAAGGTATAAAGAAAAACTCAACAGTAAGACATCTGTAATGCACTAATGGACTGATGGTATCAGCACTAGCTGATCCAGCAGTTCATCCATTTCTTAGAATAATTCTACTTTACAGGACTGAGACAGGGATTTTAAGAGATGTTCCTTTTCGATGATGTGTTCTGAAGAGTGTTTTGCACTAGCAAAAGTCATCTTGCATCTTATAATGCAACAAATGAACAGATAAATTCAATGTTTACTTAGGCCAAGTCTTTCAACTGAGTTAGTGTTCAAAGCTCCCTATGATTTCAGTAATTGTTCCATAGGCTGAAAGACTGAAGGCCAAAATAATACACTGATAAGTGGCACAGCTTCTACAAATATAGGAGGACATAAATGCATTCCTTAAGAATAAACAACACAACAGAATTCTACAAAACCTTTTCAGTCATGCTGAGGTTAATAAAATCTAAAAGCACAATACAATTCTTGGTTTAAAAAAAAAAAACCTTCAATAGCAAACAGAGGACATTGAAAAAGCAATAAATTTCCATGCAGACACAAAAGATATTTACCATCTTCAGCACTAAGAGCTAATTCTTCCTTTGGATTATTTATTTTTTCTTTGTCTGTGCAGGAAAAAATAACACATAGTTAGAAACTTCATTGTTGAGTGTAAAATGGATGGCAGTGGTAATCACAGAATTAAGAGTGATGAGGACAAAATCCACAAACAAACCAGCAAAGCCATGGGAATGGTTAAATTCAAGAGATGCATTTACTTCACACACTACTTCCAAGCCTACATCCAAAGCAGGGGTCTCGCGTTGACGGTTTCTATCAGCGTGCTGTTGCAACAGTGTTAGTGCAGACCTAAAACCTAGAAACTAGTTAGTAGCAAGCAATAGCATAAGTAGCATTAGAATAATAACTTGCTAACAATAGCCAACATCCTTCAAAAACTACATCTCCACACTTCAGTTTACTGATGTAAGTTCAGTCTGTGTCTTCCCCATTAGACATGAGATAAGCATGAAAAGTCTCAGGGGCAGGGTGAAGGGAAACAGGAAAAATAATTCAAAAAAAAGAAATCCTAGGAGGCTACTGAGGGAAGTCAGGAATTCATTTTAAGTGTAATATCTCAAAGTGAGTTTGGTAGGACACACTCAGGTGAAACATTACTAAACTGAGTTTTTCATGCTTTCACTGTCTACTAATTCAGTCCAAGCAAGAAGCCAGGAGGCAGTGGCAGTTGTTGCTCATTACCTATTTGGGTAATTGCCAGTACATTCACTATTGAAAAACTATCCAGGAAACAGTTAATCACTATCAACATAGTGCATTTCTGGAAGATGTCTGCTTCACAGACCAGCGTTGTTTCAAAATTAACACAAATAACTGAAAATTAAATTGTATGAGAAAATAATATGGTTGCACAGTACAAGCTCTATACAGCTTATCGAGAAACAAAAACAAAGCCATGACTTGGCAAGGCTGTGTGGAAGACCAGCATTAACACATTTAAGCTAAACTGGGGGTCATGGGAGACACACACAAGCTTTGTGCTCACTTGAGGTGGCTGATGGAATGTCCTCTAGACTTTTGGAAGGCTTTTTCCTATCTGCACTCCTTTTCAAAGCCATCAAAACAGGGTTTAATTCTTCTTCAGAACCTGTTATGAGACAAAATATATGAACACTGCACACAGAGATACCACTTTAATCAAGTCAGTGAAGATCCAGCCACGAGTTTCTCATGAGAATCTATTTTGACTCTTAGCAAAGACAGTGAACATTCAATGAAAATACAAAATAAATTCAAAATTAAATAAATATCTAATTTGAAGTGTCCATTTTTACTCTCTGAATATCCTCAGTCATCAGCAGAGACCTTTTGCTTGATTTCCCCTGTGTAGGTATCTGTCTTTACTGCCTATTAATGGGGTTTGGGGCAATTATAGCACTTAATTATTTAAGAATAATATAAGATAGACTGTAGCCAATTTGTAACCATCTTATTAGGAATAGGCACCCAAAAAAAAAAGTTAATAGTTTTAGTTTTCTCCCCTCGGTGCAAATTTTTCTGTTATATTCTCTCCCCAGTGAAAGTAATTTTGTTTTAATACCTGACTAACAACACACACAAAAAAAAAAAAACAGCTGTGGATGTATTTGGGTCTCTGAAATTATGCAATCTTCTCCAAAGGCAGAATCAAGACAGACTTAGCTCCTTCAGAAACATTTAAGACTATCTCTCCTCCCTATCTCACTTTCCTCCCCCTCCACCAACCAATCACACCTTGCAGTGTTCTGTCTGTAATTACAGGTGACAACAAATTATGTTTGAATTTTTCTTATTTGTTTCAGTTTTCGCTGACTTCCTTTGGAATTTCACTTTCAAAACAGGCTCAAGTGTAAGTTGTCAGACCGTGGAAACTTCACATATTTCTCAGATTCTCCAGCTGAAGAAAACATTCCCAGTCTCTCAGTATGAGACTAAAAAGGTTAAATTATCTCCTCTATCTTCAGCTCTTTGATGACTATCACACACTAAACATTGTCTAGAGCTGCCATTCAACCAAATAAGTGTGAATCCTAGTAAACACATCTCTTCCTTTATGTGTTCACTTTCCAGTGCAACAGGCAGCAATGCTAAATGAAATAGCATAGAGTGTTGGTATTGTCCTTATATCCAGCCATTCCACTGGTGAGCATTTTATCTTTGAAGACTAGCTGGTCAAACTAAAGACTGTACTCAAACAGTGACTGATATTTTTTTTCCTCTTTTAATCCAGATTATTTAAAGGAATTAATAGATTGGGTGCTAAACTTCCTTTACCAAAAAGGCTTACCCAAATGTAGTATGTGTCTATCAAACACTTTCCAATTACAGAACTTAATTAATTCTTCCCATCCTTCCCAAACAAATACCCACAGCATTCAATTAAGAAATAAGTATCACACAGACTTTCTGTTAACGTATTTCAAGTTGGCTATCAAAAAAAAATATTGTATCCATGTTTAACAACTCAGCACCATGAATTTTAGAAATCAAACAGCTCACGAGTTGAACTTCTGGTTCCAGAGTGGGAATCAGAGTTTTCATCTGAAAACTTGGATCCCAAATTTAAATTGTCCCCTTCCTCTTCATCATTATCCTCATGCTGAGACATTAGGTAGAGCAGAGCTTCTTTTGGCTGGGGGGAATTGCTATCATCCTTAAGTGGTGTGCTTGCTCTTCTGAAATTCAACAGTGCTTGAAATTCTGAATTCTTTTCAGAGGCCTCTAAGGATGTGCTTTCGTCTCTCCTTCCTTTTTCATTTATCTGAAATGGCTTGATTGCAATCATATTTGTCTTGCCTTCCAAAGGAGTAAGATCAACTGGAACCATGTTTCTCTCCTCTATTTTATTAATAATTTCATTTCTTTTAAGATCAAAAGCTTCCATTTCACTTACTGCAAGATCATTTACTGAAGCTTTGACATTTTGTTCTAGAGCTTCCCCTTTGACAGCTAACTTTATTTGTGTATGACAGGTACTTAGAACATTATATGGCTGCGACATAGTTGTGCATAGAGTCTCTTTTTCTGAGGGAAATGCAGGATCTCCAAACTTTTCTTGCTTATGTAACTCTTTGGATATTGGACATGGAACTGTAGATGCTTTTTGAACAAGTTTTGCTAAAGAACAACTGAATTCACTGAATTTTGCAATATTTGAAACAGAAGTTTTTTCTACTGTTTCTTGTATTTCTTGAGGATGATCTCTCTCTTGTTGATGTGGAACATGCATACTTAGATTAGTCTGTATTTTACCTTGCATTTTCTTATCCATATTTTCTGGCACAGAAGCTGTTGTTTCGGAGACCTCTTTTGGTAGCTTCTGGAAAGTAACATCAGACACTCTATATTCAGCCTTGGACAGTGCAGATCTTTCTGTGGTCTCTTCATCATGCTTATAGGTCATACCCTTAGCTTCCACCTCAGCAGTTCTCTGTACTATGCCATTAGCAAGTTTTGCTTTAGGAGGTGGTGTTTCAGAGGCCTCCTTCTGCAGCTTCTCTAAAGCAAGATTCAAGCCACTGTTCTTGGATGGGGCAACAGACTTTTCTACCATCTCACTGACTTCCTGCAGCACCTCTCCATCATGCTCATAGGCTGCACTCTGAGTTTCCACCTCAGCAGTTCTCTGTACTATGCTGTCAGCATGTTTTGGTTTAGGAGGTGGTATTTCAGAGGCCTCCTTCTGCAGCTTCTCTAAAGCAGAACTGAAGTCACTGTCCTTGGATGGGGCAACAGACTTTTCTACCATCTCACTGATTTCCTGCAGCACCTCTCCATCATGCTCATAAGTCATACCTTTAACTTCCACCTCAGAAGTGCTCTGTACTATGCTGTCAGCACGTTTTGGTTTAGGAGGTGGTGCTTCAGAGGCCTCCTTCAGCAGCTTCTGTAAGACAGAACTCAAGCCACTGCTCCTGGATGGGGCAACAGACTTTTCTATGGTCTCAGCGATTTCCTGTGGCACCTCTCTATCATGGTCATATATTGTGCTTTTAACTTCCACCTCAGCAGTCCTCCACATTGTGCTGTCAGCATATTTTGGTTTAGGAAGTGATGTTTCAGCAGCTTCCTTCAGCAGCTTCTGTAAGACAGAACTCAAGCCACTGACCTTGGATGGGGCAACAGACTTCTCTATTGTCTCATGGACCTCTTCAGGCTGACCAGTAGCTTCTTGGTATGTTGATTCTATGCTGCAATTAGTTTCTGATATGCTATTCATGTCATTGTACGTTTTCATTCCCACCCCTCTATATTCAGGAGGCTGAGATACAAAGGTTTCTCTGAGCAGGTTCCGCAAACCAGAGCCCTCAAGAGTATCATCCTTGTCTGCTGCCTGATGCTGTAAACGCAAAGGTTCAAATTCCCTAAATAGTTTTCTGAGGCTTTTTTTGTTCTCATGCTCATCTGTTGATGGCATATTCACTTTTCCTGTATTTTTGCCCATTTCTTCTTCTTGATCAGCAGGAGAAATATCATGGATCTCTTCTACTGTTCTCTCAAAGACCTTGCACTGATTTGACTGAAAAGTTGTCCCTTTCAAAACATTTTCTTTTAAGTTTAAGCTACATGACATCTCAGAGGCTTCCTTTTCTAGCTTCTTTAGAACTGATTTAAATACGTCAAGCTCACCTTTAGGTTGAACAACTTTCTCCACAGTCTCTGCAACTTCCTCCTTAGGGAGACTGATATCCAATGGACTAGTCTTGTTCTCCACTTTTTCTGTGGGTAAACATAGCCTATCACCTGCTGCTGTCTCCTTCAAAGCATTTTTATCACCGGGTGACTGGAGCAACTGCAAGGAAACATGATGATATTTTGATGAAACAATACTTTCTCCTATACATTCTTTAACTGTTTGCTCCGGAAGACTCATCTTTTCCTGGGATTTTGAGGTAACTGGTTTTCTGTTCGGCTGGACAGAGTCTGTATTTTGTGTGTGTGTCACATTCAGACTTTCCAGTGTAGGAGATCCTAGAGACTTTTTGCATACCAGAGAATCTTGTTTCTGTGGTTTTTCTCTCTCAGATGTTTGGGTTTGTTGTTGAATTAACTCTTGCTTGCTCACATTATCTCTACCTTTGTCTTCCTTTGATTTACTTTCATATATTATTGAACTATTATTATTTGGCAAAGAAACATCTTCCCTGTCAATTCTACTCTGGAATTTAACTCCAGTATCCCAGAAGTTTCTCAAACTCTGAAACCGTGAAGGATCTGAAATTTGATTCTTGGACTTTTCATCCATTTTTTCTTTTAAAGAAAAAACTTGAAAGCTGGGCTTCTGTTGGGAACAAGCAGCAACTTTTCCTTTAAGTGTTTCTTTCTCATCTTTGCTTTTTGGGGAGGCTGAAGTGACACCAACTCTGGACTGCAAGTTACTGGCTTTTGGCAATTCTGTATATTCATGGACTTCATCAAATGGAAGTGTTCCTTTTGGCTTTTTAACTGCATGGCGTGGTCTAAACTCCAAAGAGTGCTGATGTTTGTTTCTTGAATCCTGGCTCAAACAACTCAACTGAGGACTTAATGTATTCTTGCTCTGATCACGCAATCTATTAGGTGGGTATACTGCAGTTGGTTCCATTTTGGCACTTTCTCCAAGACCTTTCAATGCACGGCCACCTGACGCGCTACTATCGATACTAACTTCTTTCTCTCCATGATTGAGTATAGTTTTATCCCCTTCCCAGAATGCTCTGATCTCCCTTATTCTTCTTTTTTCTTGTATTGCCTTCTCTGATTCATATTTCTGAGGTTGTAGCTTGTGTTCTTGATGTTCCAATAGATTTGATTTTTGATTTTGTTGTTTGATTTCTTGACCACATTCTTTTTCTTCAGCTCCTGTACAATCAAATTTAGTTAGCAATTTGCCATTTTGCTCCTTATTCACTTCCCCTTTCTTAGGATTCACACTCTCCTTTATCAGCTGTGCATCTTCTGAAGTAAATGATGTAGATGAAACACTGTTCTGTTGTTTAATCTTTCCAAATGGTAACTCTTCTGTAACTCCTGTTTTTCCATGCATGCTAGGCCCACTATGTTCTCTAGGAGGAACTGCTGTTCTGGTTGAAAAGTCCACTTCCTCTTTGGACTCCCTGCCTTGGGATCTAGTTGATGCATGTTCCCCATCTTCAGTATCAGAACTTCGTTTAAACCAGTCTAAAACTTTTGATACAGATTCATCAGCCACTTTCACGAGTTCATCAGCATGTTTGTCAGGCTTGAAAGTAGTTTTAGCATCTCTCTCCTCAACAAGATCAGGCTTACCTTGTTGAAGACTTGTAGAATTGGTGTTTGACACCTCACGTGCTTCTGTCTTAACAGAAGGTTGATGTTCATCTACAATGTAAACAAACTTATCAGAGTTATGAATTAGCCACGTGACTCTAAAAACATTTGGTCTATTTAGAAAATTCTCAGAATTTTTTTTTTAACTGTTAATGAAGCAAAGATTTCTCTGTCCTTGTGTTTTTGGAAAGAACCATACTATGGGCAATAGAGAGGAAAAAATTCCTTCAGTGATATATCCTATTGGAATCATTGCTTTTGAGGGTTTGAGCAGATAAAATTACTTAATCCCACTCTAGAGGAAATGCCTACATTAAACAGGTGCTGGGCATCAGACACACACAGAATACAACAACCCAGCATATTTGTGTTCAGTCCTATGAGCAAATCCCCAAGTTACAACTGAATTACTTCCAAGGACAACTGACAGCAATACACTAAAATTTTCAGTTCCTGTGCAGACAGATCTACCAAGCTTTATAAAAGCAATTTCATCCAAATGTCATCACCTCATCATTCACAATAAAAGTGCCTATAAAGGCTCTGATGACATTACCAATAGAAGAACCTTAAAAAAATATTGATTATGTCACAGCATAAAAATACAAAAAGGTGATTTAGGATTTAATTCTGTAGTACTTAGCACATTCCTACTACTTCTGTTTCCTAGTTGTTGTTAGGTATAAGTGACCCAAAGAGTAATGAACACATGCTATATGCTATTGCATTCCATTCTTCAGTTCTATTAGTCTCTTACCAGTGAAGTTTTTGTGTGACTTTGATTCATGGCTCAAGATCTGGTTGGATTTATTTTCATATGCCTCATCAACACTCAGTTCATTATTGCTATTTGGCAGCATATTGCTGGAAGTCTTCTGTGGAGTTTCAAGTTTCTTAGGAAAAACTGTCTTTGTCTGCAAGTTTTCATTAACCGGGAAGACTGACCTATTACTAGTGTCACAAGGGCCGGATGCAGATGTATGTTCTTGTAAACCATCTATTGTTTTCATTTGTAAAGCTGATGAATAGGTTTCTGAAGGCTTCACAGCAGAAATTTGCTCATCCCCAAATGAATCTGATGGGATAGCATAATTTCCACTGATCTTTTTTTTGTCCGATTCTAACAAATCAAGCTCTCCTCTTTCTTTACCATGGTGTAGCTGTGGGCTTTGCAGAAGCCTTTCTTTACTTGTGCTAGATGAAAACCTCACTTGTTTTAGTTTTTCCATTGAAATTTGTGTGCAATCCTCTGCTTCGTCCACAAGAGAGCTCTTCTCAGAATCTCCTTCAAAAATAGTTGCAGTAGAAAGACCATTCTTCTTCTGAACGTCTAACATATGACTAACACGAACTTCTGAGTCAGTGGAACTTGAACTTGAACTGCGCTTTAGAATGCCCCTGGGAGGGGTACCAGCACCATTAATCCTCTCAGACTGTTTGGTTGGTTTTGGAGCAAAGTCTTCTCTTTGTGATACAGAGTCTGTTGCTTTATGAATTAATTTTCTAGCTTTTGGGACAGGACGCTTAACTAATCCCTTTTGTGATTCATCAGTAAGTTCTACAGAAGGCTTCTTATGTTCCTTTGTTTCATCATTTCGTAAGTTTGATTTAGGTGGGCTCTCTTCTGAGAATGAGAAAATTTCTGTAAGACATATATAAAGAAGAAATCATGAGTTTACACAACATTCGCCTGCATAAACAGAAAGATATGACAGTGCAGGCCTGGGATGCAGTAATTATACTGGTTTATTAAAAGCAACTGCAGTAAAAACACAGGCAGAAATTTAATATACATGTTAAATCTATTTTTCATTTTGATTTGTATGTAATAGAAAATTTTAGCAAGTTTAAATCCTGCAGTTATTTCTTATTCTAGAAATTTTAACTATTTGATGATTCCAAAGACAGAGAGCACCCCAAATTTATCATCAGCAATATTCCTGCAAGGCACAAAGTTTGCAGGAAAGAGCAGCTTTTGAATATGCATACACATCTTCAGGGTCAGAACATAAACAACAATCTACAAAAATGGAAACAGGCTATTTCTACAGTCACATGGAACAAGGTAAAATGCAGAAATAATCTCCTGGCAGGGAGATGAAGGGTTTTTTATTATTACTGTGCAAGTCTTCCTTTTTCCTGTTTGCAAGCTTCACAACAAAGACAGGAGAGTAATTTCCACATATGACTCTAAATTACAACTTCAAATAACTGTATTGTGATAAATCATCACTCATCAACTTGCTTGCAGACAATACTGCTGGAAAGGGAGGATTTGAAATTAAAATTAAAAAATAAAATTAAAAACATAAAGATCAAAGAGAGCTAGGCTGCTTCTGTTGAGCTAATAGCAATGACTAGAAGGTCATAAAGGGAGCTATGCCAAATTCAAAGAAATTTTGCTGTCCTCTTAACAGCAATTCTGAAGAAACAGCCCTCTGAGATGAAGTTCTCAGTAGTGACTGGAACTGTGAATAAAAGAAAAGAAGCAAAACATATTTATTCATGTAAACAGCCATTTCCTGAGTATACTCACATGTTTTAGATGAAGTTTGAAATAAACTAGTTGATAACTCCAAGGAGTTATCAAAGGCAAAACAGGTTTTGATAGCTTTCAAAAAGAAGCAACAAAAGTAAAAATAATTTCTATATAAACCACAAGAAATTCACAGTCATATGCTAAATAAGCATATTTACCCTTCTCTGATAGCTGAGGTACAATGGCTGGTCTGTTTTCTGATTCCCCAAGGTTCACGTCATCACCTGATGCAGTGGAATTAAATGGATTTCTTCTTTGCTGAAAACAGAATGAACACCATAATTGCAGTCAAATTGTTATATCAGTACAGCCTTCACAAAACAAACACAAGTGCAGTGATTGCCTCACTTACCTGTCAGCAAAGAGTCTGAAAGCATACCTCTTGATTTGAATACATGACAAAAACCCTAAACAATATGAATCAAGAACTATCAGAAATGCCAGTGATAGCCTCAATTTGTTCTTTCTGAAGTCACCAACAACAGAGATAAGCTACCACTCAAAGACACTTGAAAATCCCAAGTTGTTGCAAGTTAAATAATTTTATCTCTAGTTCTGTGATGTTGGAACACAGCAGGACAATCTCTTTTAGTAGCTGAAGAGGCTGGAAGCCAGGTCAAGAACACCAACTACAGATGTAACAGCACTTCAGTGCTGAACTTTTAGTAGCTTTCATTATCTCCCTCCAAAACAAAAAAAATACTCCTTTTTTCAAACTTATTATCTTTCTTCCTCAAATCTTCAATTATCTTTACCACTGAAGCAAATAGCCACACAAAATGTAGAAGATAACGTCTGCCATATTCAATATCAGTCATACCCTTACTGATGAGACTGGTGCCTTCATAGGCCTTTCCTCTGGGTTGTCTAACATGGAGGTTATTGGTTTAGAACTGCAAAGGAAAAGTATATAACAATTTCAGAAAACAGACATTGCTTTAGGCCTTTATGAAAAAGCAAAACAAAGATTCATTTATACATAGTCAAACACAACTTCTCAGCACCTGAAGTTTTCTATTTAACCTGTTGTCATCAGGTTTAGAAGTAAAACTTCTCCTTTCTATAGCAAAGGGGATATTCTTGCTATTTTGTTTCCTTGCAAAAATTTCTTTTCTTGTTAGAGAATTCAATCCAACTTCTACATGGCACAACAGAAACCATGTTTTTTCGATATGTTTTAGATGTTTGAGCAAGATTTTTGTCAATATAGCTACTCTTCAAACAATAACACTGCTGCCACCTCTATCCTTGGCCCACATTTGTCCTTCTAGGACTGAAATCAAAGAGGAGGAAAGTGCCAAAATGTGATTTAAAAAAAAAGGTTTGCAAAGTGTCCAGATCAGAAAAAACAGAGGAATCCCATCACCACTATAGCAAAGATGTAACATGGTACAGATGACAACACATTCACTCAGCTTATAAGATATTCTTTCAATTAAGATCTATAAAATTTATAGTTTGATAGCATAAGTGAAGTTATTACTTGTGATAGTAAGTATAGTCCAGATATGGCAAAATTAAAACAGCTAGAAGAGACATTATACCAAGAATTATTTCATCTATTTGCAGAATGATGCAAGGTTTTTTTCCAATCAGATTTTTATTATTTGAGTTTATCTAAACATTTCAGATATGAAAAATCATTTGGTTTTTGAACATGAATGTTAGATGTGGATTTAAATATGGTCTTCATATAACAAGCACATTCAGTATCTTAATTTTATGTGGAAAATGTTGACATTAACCAACATATATACTTATGATTTTGCAGATGGGGAACTGTACGAGGAAGGAAAAGTTTGTATTCTCCAGATAGGAAATATGACCTCAGACTGGGAAGGAAAGCAAATCCCTTGGTTTTTCAAATATAGATGTATGAGGAGATTCCAATACTGAATATTTCTTTGGTCAATGATCTTTGTTATGGGTGAAAAGACTTTCAGGTGGGAAGTAGCAGAGCCACAAGGTATCTCAAGACAAGAATCATCATCCTGCTCTCATCAAGTTCCAGGTTCTCCTCCTTGCGTGAATAAAGATCTCTCCAGTCAGGTAACTGGTAACAGTCTGCCCTCCTGAGAGGAGAACAGCTTTCCCATCTTCTCCAGGGTGTAGTACAGTTAACATCAAAGTTTAGGGGAAAAAAAAAAAAACCTCTAGCAGCCACCCTTGAAAGGCTAGTGGCCTCTGGACTGCTAAGTGTGTCTAAGAAGTGACAGCATTTCCATTTTACAAAAGGAAAACCATCATTATGAGGAAGATAATATGATAGTATTGAGCTGTGTGAACACAAAGGTAGCAAAAAAATATGAGTTGCAATTGGAACTATAAACTTCTTTATCTCTTTCTTGATCTTTTGGTTCAATATTACCTTTACGAAATATATCACCATGCACAGAGACTTAAGGTATGAGCTGATCTTGTAGTGGAAACTATCTTTGGTGAAAAATAAACTCTTCTTACTTTTCAACAGTAACTACAGCAACCTCTGATATGCACACACCAGATTAGTGACAGATTACTATTGTTCTTTTTATTCTTTGCTGATGCTAAATAAAAAAAATCTAGTTCTTAAAGAGCTAAATGTTACAACTTCTAATTCCTTTTAAAGAATATCATTCCACATTACTGTTTTTAACCTTAGTTTTAAATACTTTTTTTTTAAGTCCGAAAAATATATATATAAAGAAACTACAGAAACTGGAGTTTGTGTTCTTGCTTTTATAAAGCACTTGAGCTTATGTTTTTGTTTTTAAGAGCACCTGTGTACTCCTCCACTTTGTGTCTGGTCTGCACTATCTACTACCAAACAGAACAAACGATCTTAATTTTTAAGGTCTAGGTCACGAATACTTCAACCCTTCACTCATTTTAAACAAGGAAAACACTGTTGTGCACCCTGGGCTGCAAGAAACCAGTAAAACATTCTTCAATGCAGTTTTTCCAGGTTAGGAGGTAACTTTTGTTTCATTGAACACACACAGTCCCACAATCTCTAATGCAATACTACTTCAAGCTTATCATAAAATAACTAAAGAGTTGTTTACTTGGTGTTACATACTGAAAAAATTACATCCAGGATCCTACAACTAAGATTCAGAACAAAGGGTCTGAAAATCAGTTTACCCACAACCCATACAGATGAGAAAACTGAACAAACAGTTCCAAGATATGCTGCATTCACAAGGCTAATCTGAGAGTGTATGAGGGCAAACTGATAAATACACACAGATTAAAAAAATTCCACACTTCAATTCAGCAAAACAAAGGACCAAGAACCACAATGAAGGCCCAAACCCCACACAGATTGGAGAGCAACCAAGACGCAACAAGGCAAAGGCAAGAGCGAAGGGGTTGCAGATTTGCAGGCACTGTAAATACATAGATTTTAAAAATTAGGGCTTTTGTGCAAGTTTTCACCTTGCAGAATTCTAGGACCCACAATTGTCACCTGTTCAGCATAGGCTAAGAATACTTTCTAGGTTAGGGAAGAAAACAACATCCAAATCTTAATTTGAAAGATAACTCCCGTTTTTTGAGATTCAGCATACAGGTGGCATCACTCAACAGAGGCAATATTGACAGTCTGAATCACCCTTTGAAAATTCATTCTGTTCGAGGTTATGCCTTCAAAGACACTTCACATACCTGCCTTGTAAAGGTTCTGGTATGCAAGAGAATTATCACAGTGATGTAACACTCAAGAAAGAAATAACTCATAGAAATAACTCATATTCATTATGGAATTCAGGTATTTGGGGTGTGGGGATAAAGATCACTATGCTGATTTTAAGAATATAGTTGTGGTCTGATTTCTGTTGCACCTAGTATAGCAACAGCCTAATTCAACAGCAGTTGAGCTGGCCCCAGGGCTGGATTTCATCCTTAGCAATCTACAAACAGGCCTACCAGAACTGAACTTTCTTTGCACTCAGTAAGAATTGTTTTGGTTTAAGAACAGGTTCCAGAACAAAAGTAGTCTGAGTAATTTGTTATCATATAACTTTTAGCCTCAATCATCAGGTTAGAAGCTGTGTAGTTTAATGCAAAGACTGGAAGCCAGTCCTGACCCAAAACACACTCTGAGAGGAAAAAGGCAAGAAAAGAAAAAAAACCCCAAACCCCCAAATTCCCACAACCTTATCCTTAAAGCAGCACTTTAAAATGTTTTAGAAGTCCAACTACTTGAACCACGGGTAGGTTTTGGACACCAGAAGCTGTGAACTCCCTTTATGCAATCCCGAGCTCCAGAACGATACTACGTTTGATCCTCTTAGTTCTAGCTATGTTAAGACTATTGCATTGTAAGAGGAAGAACCAATTAATTCCTTGTGGCTCTGCTATCTTTACAGCCAAATTACATGTTTGTAGACTTTTCCTTCCCACTCCAACTGCCGAGGTTATTGTTTTCCCACTTCTGTCTTTCCCCTTAATTCCTGCTGGCATTAGAGACAGGCTCACAGCCATGACAGACCAGTTTCTTTCAAAGTCCAGTATCAAAAGAACAGAAAGGAAGAGTATTTTAAAAATGATTGGTGCCTCCTGCAATTTCTCACATGTAATGTTGTGTAGACTAACCTCAGTCATAGTGAATTAAGGCCACACTGAAATCACAAGCAATGAATTGCACAGTCATGACACATTCACTCGCTTCAGCTTTTGACATTTTAGAAGCAAATGATCCAAGGCATCTAATCAAGTATTTATGCAAAGTAAATGTAAGTAAGCATCCAGCCTGCAAATGATAGACCACTTGCAAGGTCCATTTCCAATTGCCTCATAAAACACTGGACTGTGTGAACTTGCTTTAGAGAGAAGATCTTGAGCTATTGGTGAAAGTACAAGTACACATGAACAAGGCATGCAGGCTGACTAACTTCTGGTACAATTTGGAGCAAAAGGCAGGAGACAGTCCCCAATAATAATCATCAAGCTTTGCATGACTGTGATCTGAAATAAGTCATCAAATCACCTCAAGCTGAAGACCACTCTCAAATTGGTCATATTTCAAATAATTGTCTACATATTCTTAAACCTTGTTATGTATTTTTGAAGAGGTTGTCCTGGCAATTCATGAAATCTATTACACCTTATCAATCACACAGAATTTGTGAGGAGTTGTAATGACAAGAACAGCATTATAAGGGTGTACTTCTTTCAAAGTATCATCATTTCTTCCTGATGTGCAAGATGACACGCAATATTAAACAGCAGCATGTCTTGTGCTGTTCATAAAGAAATAACTTAATAGTAATCTCCTGAAGGTAACAGCCACACTACATTTAGTAACAACTAACTCTGTCAGCTTGGTTTGAGAGGGACAACAGAGCTCTTTCTTGTGATAAGCAACTTTTATAATCCTTACTGTACAGCTTCATTTTTTGGGATGTCTATAACAAAGCAGTTTATTTGATCTTTTTCAGCACAATGGGGTCAAGACAAACACTTCTGAGTTCATTGAAAGTCATAAAGGGTAAGAAAGACCAGTAACACAAACCAGAGTTGTTAAGACACCAAAGGTTGGTGTCATTAACTGTGAATGCGCATGCCCAGTTTGCAGACCATGGAAGTGAAAGACTCAATTGCTACTAGGTACTGTACAAATGCATAGTAGGAGACAAGCCTTACTGCAAAGAAAAAACAGATGAAGTACAGAGAAGGACTTAGAAGACAGACAAGAAAGTGAAAGGTTACAGAGCTGATCAATGGCACAACCCCAAGTAAAACAGTCACGATAAGAAGTAACTCTGGCTCTTACCTCACTCTGTTCGCTAAAGCACAAACAATAGTTATCTGGGTTACACCCTGGTTCTTGTTTCCTCAATGGTGTTGAGGAATCTGGCCACATAAAGACATTTCACTTCCACCTGCTGTCACCCTAGCTCTTTCAGCACTTTTCTTCTCAAGTGCAGGCTTTTGGAAGGTTTTTCACACAGCCAATGGATTACACGTAGGTATTTTAAAGTCTGAGACAGACAAGTCTGTCTCAGAAATCAACTCAGGCTATTTCAAAACAAAATAAAGCTGTTTGGGATGTTTAAATCAGTATATTTCAAGTCTGTAATGTCAAATCTTTCGTAATTCAGAAACTACTTATCATCTAGCCCTCTTTACAACTATAGTAATTTAGGCATATCCAAGCTGACTATCTCATATGGAGAAGCTCTGAAAGGAAGCTTCTCCATTCCAGAAAGACATTTACTTTTCTTGGTAGAATCTGACTCATTTTTCTGCAAATATCTAAATATTCTATCTCCTTCCACCTGAAATACATTTGGTCCTCTTAAGAAATCTCAGAGGTCTTAAACTATTGTACCTAAAAATCTGGAAAATTCTAAACAACATTTTCTTAGTCTCTCATTCTTCACGTGATATGAAGTGTTCAAAGCATGTGTAGATGTGGCACTTGGGGACATGGTTTAGTGGTGGACTTGGCAGTGCTGGGTAAATGGTTGGGCTTGATGATCTTACAGTTCTTTTCTAACCTAAATAATGCTATGATCCAAATTTAAAATTCAGGCTAAATCGATAGTCTTGTCTCATTAAGTGACTGAATGAGGAGGTGCAAAGGTTGTTATTCCCCTATTATTAACTGCAGAGGACTGACCATGGCCAGCCATTCTAACTAGAAAATCCTAGCCTCACTTCAAGGAACCAAATTAAATTGTGACATGAGAACATGCCACAGCACCAAGCCTGACAGAGTTCAAGAAATGTTTGTACAATGCTCTCAGGCACAATTCTTCTCATTCACAATTTTTCTGAGAAAAGGCAAGCTGAAGATTGTTCTGCATTTGAATATAGAACAATTAACAATGCATGACTATGTGCCTTTCACATGCAGAGATTTCTTGGACAATTCTCAGGGAACATTTAATGATCTTTGAAATAAGAGATAAGTACAATATTTTGGGTGGAACTTACAGCTCACAAGTTTCACTAGTCCAAATATATACATACTAGGAGCAATTAAACAGACAGCTTACCTTGAACTAATTTTCAGTTGTTGTTCTTCTTGATGTTCCACAATGCCATGTAAATCTGGTGGCACAAAGACTTCTTTATTAACATTGCTCACCCAGCTGGTCTTTGGTTTGCTCATTTTGTTCTGACTCACTTCAGCTAAAACATGAAGCGAGAATATTGTTGTCTCCCATATGTTCATACAGGATTTCTTAAGAAGCAAGTACAAGTATCTGCATTTAGTCCTACAGCTATTCTAAAGTCTGCTATATTGGAATTATTTTCAGAAGCAGATCTTGTGCCTTCTGAAGACTATTTTTTTTAATGCTACTAGAATACTCAAATACTATTCTGAATACTTCACTCTACTATTCCAGACATATCTGTTGATCCTGTAGTTCTTGCAGCTAGATAGATATAAAAAATTCAGCCTCAGTGTCCTGAGGAAACAAAAATTATTAAACCATAGAAAACTGAAAATGTGCTGAAGTACACTTAGTCAAGTCAATTATTCCCTTTCTACAGCAGTAAACTAGAAGTTGGTCATAACTCACTTAAGCAGAAGGTTAATCCTTTATGGACAGAATTACCACAAGAAGTTAAAAAGTTAAGTATAAACCAACCAAACAAACAAAAAGCTCCACCTCATTCAGCAAATACAAATACATTTGCATTTCTTTTGAGGGTGGGACAGAATCCTATTCTGATAGCCACTTTCAGAGTAAAAACCTTATATTGTTTCCTCTACTGCTTTTTGCACTTCTCCAAAAGTTTAGAAGAGAAAAATTGCTTAGTGTACAAAAATAAGCAAGATTTTTATTCTCACTTTTGCTATCTGTAAATGCAAGCAAAAATATCTTGCCATCTCATGAGTCATTTAAACCAAGCAAGTGCACAGAGTCCCTAATGTACCAATATTCCTCTTTGTTCAAGTAATAAGATTGGGATTAATTAACCTACCTTTAATATATTATGGATTTAAGTAGTTTCCTTTAAGCTCTAAGTTACTGTGAAATTCAGCTAGAATTTTACAGTTGATTTCCATGACCTTCAAGTCCAAAACCAGCCAAAATCACAAAGATACCACACTAACCACCGATTCTTTTTTTTTTTTTGCATTCTTTTCTGTTTCAGGCCTTCTCATGTTAGCTTAAAAACTCAGAGCACTAAATTCAAACTGACTAAACCAACATTATTCAAACTCTTCTCTGAAAACAAGGCTAACTTGTATTTATAAAACCTATAGAAAGCAGCAAGCTATAGTCCAGCCACAGTATTGAGAGAAGGATCTTATTTGCTTCACTAGCATGTAGCAAAATCCCTTAATAGAACCTATAAAACCAAAAAACACAAATATCAGTACAACCTGGTAAGCATAATGTAAGCCTTGTCCTTCTAAATCAAAAGGACTTAGTAGAATTACAGGAGATTAGGAGGGGATGGAGGTCAATTTTTCAAAGAAAAAAAAAATCACTTTCTGTACAAAGAATGATAAAATAGACCAGAACTCTTTAGATTAAAAAGTCAGATGCTAAGAGATTTATAATGGAGGTCTATAAAATCCTGTATACAACACATTGTATAAAATCCTATATACAACACCATATGTTTTGGTGACTACAGATTGACTGTTCACTCTCTCTCCCAGGGATAAAGTTCATGGTGACCAGGGCACTCACCATGATGTGGGCATGCTGGGTGCATTTAAAGTTCATGTGGACACAGGATGCCAGTTCTAGCTGCCAGAGTTTCCAGCACATATATTCCAATTAGTTATAACCACTATCTCTAGCTTGTGGTGCCTACCATTAAGCCTCCAAGGTCTCAGATTAAGCACCCAAAATCTTGCAAATCCATGTTAAAGAGCAATTTCCTCAATCTCTGATTCTTTGCATGTTCCTAAGTAGCTCACAGGGCCTCAGAAATGGAAATGAGAGTGAGTCTAGAAGTGCAGAGAGCTTTTAATATACAGCGTTTGGGGAGAGGAAAGTTTACGCTGTAAATTACATGGGAAGTCTCTTTTTTTGCATCACTTTCTGCTTGTAGAGATACCAATATTCTTCTTGGATTTCACAGAGAAGTGTTGGAGGTTAGCAAAGTAAGAACCAGCCTTTCCAAAACAAAATACAAGACAAACGCTTACCAACAGTGGCAGGCTTCCGGCGCATGGAAGCCCTAATAATGTCTGCTCCGTGTATCTTATCTCTGTGCCTCTTTGCCTTTGCTTCATAAAACCACTGCCCACTCATATTCTTTAGCTGAACATCATCTTTGACTTTTTCTCGTAAATGCCTGAGGAGGACAAAAATGGATAAATTAGATATACACACAAAATGTATTTATGTGAACAGAATAAAAGTCAGAGTTTTTGTTTGGTTTGGAGAGCTGGGTTGTGTTTTGTTTGTTGAAGTTTTTAAATGCTGTCTCAGCATGTTACTTCCATCTTTTTACCTGTTAATTTCCTTATTTATTTATGAAGGATGATAGTGATCTGGACAGGGGAGAGCCTCAGCCTTGTTCCTTCAACCGATGCTCTGAGGGTAACTCTTTAAATATAAAAAGTTTCACTATGAGAAACACTCAAGCAGAGACAGCTCTGGAGAAGTCTCCAGTAACTGCAGATCTTGACCTACTGTCTTCAAAGGCCAGTTTTCCAAGATTAAAACTAAGATAATCTAGCAGAACAACATAAGTAGTCTGTACCAAAATTAAGAGCATGGCTACTTTGGGGCTCAGAAGATGCATCTTCACGTTTTTCATGGGGCACTGCTTTTACACACACACTCCAAATGTGGTCTGGAAGCATGATACCATTTTTTCCATAAGTTACACAAATCCTTATATGAATACAATGAGTTACAAAGGAAGACATCATCCCATGGAAATAACAACAAAATAAGATTCTGCCATTTATTAATCTACATATATCCATCAGGTGAACTGCAGCCATTTTAAATATTATTTTTTATAATTTGATTTCAGGCTTCAGGGTCACCCTGCTTTTGTGAAGCATGCTTGAACAGAATAAGGAGTTGCTGTGTCTAATCTGAAAGCTTGTTTTCTTTCCTTGTTAGGCATGTATCATATTAGGCATATGCTTATACATGGCCTGGAGACTAACCTGCAGACCAGGAAAGTTACTACACAGATTTAGACAGTGCTTAAACAAAAAAATTGAAGTCAAGCTTCATCTTCCTTCTTCATTTATGCCCTTTCCTTAAGCAAAACAAGCTAATAACAGAGCCTAAGGGAGAAACCAAAACAACTCCAGTTACTTAGGCTGTCAGGCTAAACAAAATTCCCATTGCTGTGGGACAGTACTGTCTTCCACAGGCCTGGTGGACAACCGTGAATGGTTTGTGTTGGAAGGGACCTTTAAAGATCATCTAGCCCAATCCCAAAGAGGTTCATGACAGTTTTACATTTCTCAGGAGTTTAGGAAACAGAACTTCTACTGCAGTCAAGTAACTATGTTGACAATCCTTCTATTATAGGTTGCAGATTTCACCGTCAAATACAGATAAACATTCACAGCAGAGAAACAACACTAAGCCAGTCCCTTACAGTAAGATAGACCATCCTTACCTGTCACTCAACTACTCCATCTTGGTATGGCCAGAAATAAAAAGCCTAATTTGAATGCATCAGCTATATTAGAATTTGAACTTAAACTTCTTTTTGAAAGCTCTGTCAAAAGTTAGTCCCTCCAGGCATGTAAACAACTTCTGTCTCAAATCACCTACATACAGCTGAGTCTGCCAGGAGTTGAGGTCACCACTGCCAGCTTTAATGCCAAGATTCAACAGTCCATAGAATTACTGGACTATTTAAAATTTGTCCCTCCCTCTTGCTTATAGCTCCATGCCTCTTTAAGAGGCAAAATATGCACTTCTCTTATGCTGCAGGTCTTTTAAGTTGGAGCAGGAACACAGCAGTAGCTTCACTGTCCTCAAGCAAATAAGTTACTCAGGTGTGAGCCAACTCCTCATTGCTCACACAGTTTATGAATACAGCCAGCAGGAATAGTGGAAATACGGAAGGCCAGAACTTTTTACCAGATGACTGCATCTCCCTTTCACCTTCTTTCCCACTTGTTATTTGTCTTCTCAGAACAGATGCCCCTTAGGGCGAGGGACTGGCTTTTCAGCTATTTGTACGGCCTGCAGGGCAGCAGAGCTCTGACCACAGCTAGTGCTTCAGGGCGCTATGACAACATATGCCAAGGGAGGTTCTCTAGTGAGAAGGTACTGAGTCACAGGACAAGTATTCGATGTCCTCACCCTGTTTGATTCAACCCTTTCACCCTACACACACTGCTCACCCCTTTCCCCTTTGTATTCAGCCACTGAAACCAGGGTGTGGTAGGAGACCTTTCCAAGTCAGCTCAGACCAGATCAAGCTCAGCTCCCCTGCAGAAGTGGGCAGGATCACAGGCCTCTCACCTGTCTCAGCCTACTTACCTGCTTGTTGGACTCTCAGATCTGTGACTGACTACATAACACAAACAGACAGAGACAGAGGCATGGATTTGTCATAGCTCTAGACTCACTAAATATCACCCATGGCCCATGCAGCTGTCATTTTTGCTAAAATGAATGTCAAGCACTTTGCTCCCACCACTGCTTGCTGCCTATGAAAGTTGGTGTACCTTAACTCCACCAGCTCAACAGACATTCTAGATTTTGGGAGATAACTGTGCTTGCTAGCAGAGGTATAAATGTGCTCTCAATTTACACAGCACTTCCTTTACAAATGACCTTCTGCCTGATGGGGCTTGTATAGTAGGAACAGATAGATATTCACAGCAGCTGACTTCCAAACAACTTTTGCCTTCTCTTCTCACCTTGAAGCTTGGCTTACTTGTCTCTTCAAAAGAAGTATTTAGCCTCTCAGTCCCATCTTTTGAGGAACTAAGAGCAACATCATTATTAAAGCTATTCCCGGGCATTCCCCAGCCACAAACAAAGAAACAGAGTTCCATTATCAGAAAGACAATTAGTTCTAGGTCTTGGCAGGGAAAAAAGTTTTTAAGCCACCTGTGTTCACCAATATATCGTAATCTTGTAACCCCAGCAGCTGTTTTTGAGACAAATGGGAATTTTTACAATGCTAGTTGAATTCTCGAGGTTTACTACAAGCAGGCCTTAGCAGTAATATCAAACTGCTTGCACTGTGTGGGCCTGTTTCACTGTTAGGAATTAGACTGAGATTGTTGTTTACCTTGAAAGGAACTGTGGAGAAATCAGACTGCAGCCATGATTTTCCACAGCTTCCATGCCTCCTAGCACACCACAAGAGGATTAGAAGCCAACAGTTGATTCTATGCCAGCTCCCCAGTTAACAGAAAGGCTAACCAAGTTGTCATTACATTTTTCTCTTGGTGATCAAAGAACTACTAGGCATCCAGATTAAGATTCAGATTGCAGGCTTACTTGCCAAGTTTGCAATTAGGAGAAAATGCAGTAACAGCTTTACATATGATGTGAGTGGTCTGTTAAAACACCAGTTAGCCTATACTGCACTTTTCAGAGTGAAACAGCGTAAAGTCATAACGAAGCTAGTGCCCTTTTCTCCTCTAGGAACATAAAACTCAAGAAAATAAAGGTACACAGTTAGAAGGAATTCACTCCAAAATCCTCTTTTAAAATAAGCCTGAGTTCCCCATTACTTAATATACTTTTTCCACTGTGCCAAGGTGAAACCTGTTTTATGGCAAGACGGCAAATTCTTCATCCCCCCTGGGGCATTAAGTACATGTAGAATTACACTGAATGGGCATACAAAGCAACTGCCCAGAACACTGCAGGCAAAGAGAAAATCTGTGCATGGATTAATTGGGTTGTTTCTCTCCACCTCTGGAACATCTGATAATGGACTAAATCACAGATTTCCTGCCTTACAGTGATATCGTATGATTTATTTGAAAGAAGGTTGTTGCTGAATTGAAGTGCCATCTCTGGCAGTGGCAAATGCCCAAATGGGAGCTGCATTATCTTATGCAAACATAACACAATACTAAGAAATGGAAGGAAACCAAGTATGGGCAGCAGGCAAACTTTGGGAGAGTACTCCAGGTTCTTCACAATGAGATGGAGCTCTTTTTCCTTCAGCAGATCTGCCTAGCTGGAAAGAAGTCAGTCAGCTAAGGGCACAACACTTATGAGATGTCCCTGATTTGGCTGAAGGCAATCTCCAAGCCAGCATACTAATGTGTATGCTTTGACCTTCAGCACGTTATACCTACTAAAAAGTAAGCCCATTAAAAGTTAATCAGAAGTCCCTGGTAAACCACTAGAGGCAAGTAAATTATTTCAGAACTAGTTATAAAAAAAGGCTTGAGTTTCAATTAATAACAATTAATTTGTACTTCTCTTATAACAATACATCTGAGTAGTGTGTGAGAGCAGATTCTGCTTGACAAGAGGAGTTGCAAAGATGTCTCACTTTGTATTTTCAGCAAAAGAGTTCAAGCCATCTAATTCTTAGTCTCTTACAATAAATCAACCAATCAACCAATAAATCAATCAAATAAATTATTTTTTATCACTAAAGGGTAGTGTTATTTTCAGATTAAAAAGATTTTCTCACATAATAAACAAGCTACTTGTTGACACAAGCTTATGACCTAAAAATAGAATTAATATGCCACAAAGAGAATTTAGGGGTTTTTTTCATGTTTTTAAAATCAGCTCCACAAGAATTGTAGGATGTATTTACTTATTAGTTGCACTTGCTTACTACTAGATTAATTTGAATTCCTGGAGGCTTAAGGATAACCTCAGTATCCTGACAAGAACCTCAGAATCATGTTGCAAAAGGTGATGATCTGACAGGATCTTGTCATATCCTTAAGCCCTAAATTTAGAGAAAGTTGTTACTTGTGGCATCCCCAATCCTAAGTAAGCTTTCAAAAAAATTCAGTTTGAGCCAGAAAGCATGTTGGTCAGCCTAAGACACCTCAGCTAGACACAAATTTCACTGGTCAGGACAGAATGCAGAGCACATACAAACATATCACACTCCTGCCTTGCCTGTAAGCCACACCTCTTTAACATGTTATTTTTCCATTTACAGATGTTCAGACTTTTATCATGAAGTAGTGCAAATGATATAGAAAGGATTTTGCATAAAAAAGGAGCAGAGAACTCATAAAATGAACATTTCTGCAGAGTTCACCTTTGGATAGAGTCCCTAGGTGTTGTATGGCAACGACAGTGATTCTTCAAAATTCTGAAGTTATAATCAGTGCTTCATTACCTAACTATGCAGACACTACCAAGCTACCACAGTCATCTGAGTGAGTATTGAGGACATATTTAGAAAATTTCTAGAACATTTGGAAGAAATAGTTGGAGGAAGAGTAGGAAAAATGTGCAATTCTTTTCAAAAATAAGGTTAGCTTTGATAGCAGCTCTATCTTCAGCCAATCTTTTAAACCTCATCTCACACCCGTGTTCAAAATCATCTCCACCAAGAGCCTTGCCTGTGTTAAGCACACCCTCAAAACTGTTACATCTAACAGAAAAGTATTTTATGAAGTCTGGTAACAGTCACTGGATGTCATTTGCACACTTTAGTGGTAAGTCTACTTACCCCAATACCAATTAAGCTCACTTTGAAACCTTAAATATATCCTATCACACAAAAAAGCACCTTCCTTCTAACAGAGTGTGATATAAGGAGTACTGCCTTGCAAAGTAAATGAAGAGGATATCTGTTAAAGCTGACCAGAACCTAAAAAGCATTTACGGTAGTTTCAACAGCCACTCACTCCCAGCAGAATCAGATCCCTGAAGCTTTCTCTTTTTTTTGCAATGCCACACCAATGTATGTATCAAAGGGGTTTGGCACACAGCAGTCACCACCCATCCACCACACAAACAACTCCACATCAGAATTTCCCCTATCATTAACCTCCTTCAGTTTACACAGGGAGCAAACAATCCCAAGCACAGGCCACAGGAGAGCTGCCGGGAGGTTCTGCAGGGAAGGGCTGACAGCCACAGCAGAGATCCCTGTCACAGAGACAACCACAACAGCTTTCTGCTTCAGACATGCTGGTGCCAGGAGCCAGCCACTCCACCACAGAAGAGTCACCCAACCACACTCCTCCACAACTTCACGGACAGATATATTTCCACTCACGTTACTGTCTCCAGAAAGGGCTCAAAATTATTTTAAATCTGAAGCACACATCTATGAAAAGAGTCCCTAGGGGCTATGCTGACTGTACTGCCAGGAAATTCAGTTATGCACTTAGCCCACTCACTTGTTCAATGCTGGAGCAGGGCATATCAGAGATTCCTGGACAGGAATGAGGACAACAACAACAAAATAAATAAGTTGGTAATATGCTGAAAAACAGCTTCTAGTCTTGTCAAGCTGTCACTTGACTCTCACATGTTAAGCCTTTTCCCCCTTCCCCAGCAACACTGCCCCTCAGTGACTGACAGCAGCTCCTGGAGCAATGAAGCAAAGAGAGGCATCTTCTTTCACTAGGAATAAAAAAGGATGCAATGTCTTTTGCTTTCGTTGCATCACACCTGCTTGTCATCTGGGATTTCTTCATCAGCCTTTTGCCAGTGAGAAGAAAATACCAATATCCCCTCTCCTTTGAGACAAGCCTCAGCGGAGGTGAGAAAGGAAGCAAGCATGCTGTTCCCAAAGCAGTGCTGTTCTAAACTTATAATCTTGATTCAGCCCAACACAAGAGGAGCTGCAGAATGGGGCAAACACCTTTTACAGTACTCAACAGGCCAAGAATTAAAGCAGACTGCCTTAAGGAGGCTGCAGACCAGCCTAATCAGTGCAGTTTTACTACAGATTAGCAATACTGGGAACTGTTAGCAGGGAAGTGACTCTATCAGGTGACTTGTAAAATTCCACTAGGAAGTTGCTCAAAGAGGATTTTGTCATGTAACCAGTTTGTCCATGCTCCAGGAACATGGCCCAGATTATGAGAATACCCTTCCAACCTCAGACTTTCTTCTAGAGGAAAAAAAAAAATCACATTAAAAGACTTCCATTATATACACATACAAACAACACTTTGTCAGAGTGTGATGTTTGAATGATGACAGTTGATCCCAACTCTTGGATCAAGATCCCAGGTGTGCAAGGTTGCAGAATCCAAACTAAAATACTGCATCTCTTTGTCTGGAGATATAATTCAAGTAGTGTTTTAATATATAAGATATAAAAAGCAAGCTCCATGTGCCAAAACTAAGCAGAAAAATCCATTTCATATATAAGCTTCCAGCTTCTCAGAAGTTATAATATTCAGAAACCAGAAGAGACATCTTATTGACGAAACAAATGTGCTGATTACAGGCTGCTACAACCTGCAGTCTCTTGCATTTTCCACCACACCCTCTTGAACTAGAACTACAAATGGCAAAAGTGAAGTTGCATGAACAAAAATACTTGTTGACAGTCCTTTCAGGCCACTACTGAGAGTGGCTTTTTTGAATTTCTGTTCCAAGATGGGTTCCTTTCCCCAAATGCTGTTTTCAAACTCACATCTGCAATTACTTTGCCTGAACACTTTCAGATCTGGCACTGATGTAACATTCCAAGACTAAACCCAGTGTTTTTCTACGTAAAGTAAATAAAATGCCAGTTCTGTTACAAGAAAGTCAGTTTACTGTTTTTTAAAGCAGAAGACAAAACTCTGTGGTAAAAACATCGCCTCAGGTTGCACTAAGATGGGGAGGGAGGGCAGCGGTGAACACTGCCTGTAATGATTTTTCCCTCAGTCTTCAGTAAAACAAATGCCTTGAGAGGAGAAGCTTTTTTAACCAGTAGAAGCTATTTACCCTTTATTGCTCTTACACTAAAAGAAGCAAAGAAGAATAACTCTACGAAATGGTGACCACATGCTGATAAAACAACTTCAAGGCTGCACAAACATATACAGCAAAATGCATAATGCTCTTAGGGCAACTGGCAGACTGCTGTTTCCTTTGCAGGGTATAGGGTATGCCTACACAGAGGCCATTTGTCAAAATAACCTTTCTCACCAGAAGAGAAACATCAGAGATGCATCATGGTTGGAATAATTTCAAAACATTTAAATTGGAAATAGAGGACTTAATGAAGAACATCACAACGAGAAGGAATCTTAGACAAGACTACCAAATCAGTGAGAGAAAATCCTACCTTCACTGAGACCTGTAAACATTTATTTGTGTTATAGCACTTTGAGTTTTCTGCACCTCAGGCTCCCTTTTTCATTATATGTTCACTTATTATTTGATGTACCTTGTAATAGATAATTTCCTTCACACTGAAAAAAAAACAAAAGAGAGCTGACTACTAAAATCCTCACTCTTTAGGAGGCAGCTATCAGCTGAAGCAACTATTTGACTGATATTTATGCCTATGTAGATAACTTTTTCAAAGTCATATGGGCAACGCTGCTTTCCTTGCATGCATTTCTAGTCATAGCAGTTACCAATAGTAGCTCCAGGAAAACCTCCTAGCACATAAAACACTCCAGAATAACAACATATTGCTCCATCTGTGACACCACAGAGAAAATTAGGAGAATTTTTATGCAAAGACTTCTCTTGGCAGTGGGGCATAGTGTTGATACTTCTTCTGGACTGCAGCTCCAATATATGGCACCTCATGTATTTGAGGTATAACTTTAGCATTCAGACATATTGCTGACTGCAACCATACTTTTTGTTTATTTGGGGTGCTAGAGCTCTTTTTGAATCAAGTCCCTCTACTTATCATGCATTAGTTCATTTTGCAGTGGTTTTGACACTTGCAAATTGAATTGTCTTCTGAGGAAACCAAGGCACATGTGTATCCAGGCAGATGTATACCAGGTGTTCTTGGCTCCTTAGGGAAGTGTAAGGGTCTGAAACAATTTTGGTCAATAGTCAATCATTTGTGTGGTAGAGGCATTTAATCCAGAGACTATGCTAAATCTAGTCCAGAGAAAAAAATCTCCAAATCACATATACTGTGGAATACGGGGCCCTTAGCAAAAATTGTTCTAATCTGCTCCTGATTAACTCAGTGTATGAACTATGTATGTCTTCCCAGGACAACCCAGGGTGCTGGATCTCTTACCTGACTCTCTCTTCTTCAGCTCTTTTAAGTTCTGCATCCCGTTGCAGCACCTTCATTATCGCCTCTTGTTCCTCCTCTGTTAGAAAGCTTAGGTCAATCATCTTGTTGTGTGCATAGGGGCTGGTAAATCCTGCTGAGGACAGTCTTGCAGTCTGCTTTAAAGTTAGAGAAGACAAGTCTTTTTCAGCAGGCACTGAGAAAGCTGGACTGGGTTACAGTCAGTGTTTTAGAAAGTCCCAAATGTTGCTTTCTTGTAGTACAGTATATGTGTGCTTCCCTAGAAGAGAGACTTTTGGGAAAGTGTTGCATTCCTGCTTGCCATAATAATGATGTCTTCTCAGCTGGTCCTCTCAGCTCTGCTTCCTGAAGTAACAGTTCATTGACCCAGCATATCCAGTGTTTGAGAACAAACAAAACACATCCCCTAAAAAAGAGACAAGGAAGAACAAGTTATAATATCAGGGATCAGGGAAGTAGATTATGTATGCATTTTTAATTAAAAGAAACAAGTTTTTCAGTGTGATTAAACTACTTTATGAAGTTCAAATGGTCACTTCAAGTCAAACCTGTTTTACAGGCTTCTTGAACAAGGTGGCCATGAAAATATATTCCTTCCCAGTATGGCAACTCACACCCTAAGACACAAAATCAAGTGTCCTTCAAATGGTACATTTTAAAATCACTGCATTTTAGGTTGTCCTTTAAGTTAGCAGAACAATTTGGAGGCGAGGGAAGGGGGAAAAACAAAACAAAACAAGTCAAGAGCACTTATCACATTCATTTAAAGTAACAAAAATTAAAAAAAGCCCAATCGCTGTCCTACAGAACATACAAAATAAATGCGAAATAATTTCTGTATAACCATCATGAGTATGTGGAATTACAAGTCATGCAGTCACATGAACCTCATTGCTTTGTATGAACCAAACTGCATTTGCAAGCAGTAATTTGAAATACTGTTCTGCCTCTGTTTTATAGGCCATGGTTCCAGAGAACTATTCACTTACAAGGCAATTCCAACTGTCAAAGACAAAAATGTCTTCCTCAAAAAAATCTCAGAGAAATTAAGGACGTGGGGTTGGGGAGGGGAGTCAGTTGTGTCTGGGGTAGGTTGTCTTAATGCCTCAAGCTTACAGAACCATGAGTGTAATAAAGCCAGAGAAAAAATAAATAGCTTGAATTTAATGTAAGTCTCAGAAGCATCCCTAGTGCCAAACCTGGTGAGAGACAGAAGAGAAGAGATGTTTTTACTGGACAGGTCTCTGCATTAGGCAGCTCAATCACAGCCCTTCAGGGTTGTGGGTGTATTCCTTGGGCCCTTGTGGACTGACACTGTCATCTGGCAGACAGGATGCTGACATCATATCAAGCACTAAAATCAGGCGCAAGTCCTTACACTTGCTCCCCTGGGCTACAGGTGTCAACCAGGTGATTAAAACAAGATATTGGCACTGGCAGCACTCAAAGGGAAACTTAATTTCTAAAAATAATGGCATTTCTTGCATATCTGGAAGGCAGCTGCAGCCATGTTTATGATTATCCCCCCGACAATTCCAACACCAAACCACCTTGTGCATGTGGTCACGTTCGGCTGCCATATTTTTCTCCATGATTCTCATTGTGATTTTGTTCCATGAGGTTGATGTAACAGTACCTCTAAGAACCTGCCTTCTGTAACTTCATTTACATTTAGAAAATGACAGTTTTATAATTAGACAAAAGTGAAAAGTGTTTACTGTAGGGCTACCGACGAACATAACAATCCTAAATTTGTTGAGTATCCACAACAGCATGAACTCCATCTTACGAACAAGTAAGGATATCTGTTTCAACCATTATGTGGAAACTTTCCAAACCAAGCAGCATCTGCAGTGTTAATCCAAAGCCCTGGATGCTGGCTGAATGGCAAGGGCACAGCCAACGACAGTCACGTAAGTTTATGTTGCAGCTGCAAATCATGGACAGCTATGAACTAGAATTATCAAAGATTTTTCTTGTAAATTGGGCAAGATTCCTGCCCGAGATCAACCAAGTCTGCAAGAAAGCTGTTGCAGGGAAAAACATCATGTCTTTAAGTTAAAGAAGGCTGGAAGAAGTATTACATTGTCCAATTATATTAATTTAAAAATCTAAAAGAAAGAGTTGATCAGGCTGCAGAGTTCACTGATGCCTCTCAGTACACAAATCAATTAAACTAGTGGAAACAGAACTTCAGTTCTCCCCAAATGAACAGCAGTTTGCAAGGGCACATCCACAAAGGCTGTGAGAGGTCACAGCAAGCTGCACTGCTACTAAACTTCTCAGATACCATTACTCTGTAGAGCAGTTTCTTCAACTAAGGTTGCACTCCCACTTTGTTTTCAATGAGAGGCAAGATATCGAGATACCTCCTACCCTGGCAGGCTCCTCTTCACCATTTTTTCCTGGTAGATATCATACAACAGAGCAAAACACAGCTCTGTGAACTGTGGAACCAAGTTTAACATAGTGATTATGTCTGTCTTAACTGAAGCACATTCTCCTCACAGCTCTTCAGAGGAGAATCCTACATGAACTCTGATTTCCTGGTCTGCTTGCACTCATCCTGTATTCAGATTTACATAGCACCACAGAAGCTGGTTTCACTTCCACCTCAGATTACGATAAAAAGCTTCCCCGGTCCTGAGTAGTGCAGCTGAGACCCTTTAGATTCCTTTGCAAAGCTAAGAACATAATGCTTCATTAAGCCATGTTCAAGTACCTGAAAAACTGGCCCCTGATCTCACTTATTAAGCAGCTGAAAAAACTAGTAACAATCAGAGTATTTTCTCCCCCTTTAATGTGTACCATCCACATAGTAAATTATGATACAATTTGCACTATGATAAAGGCTTTAGTCACTGGAACTATACCAGTCACAAACTGAAACTAGAGTGATTTTTAATGTCTTCATGAACGAGAAGAAAACCTCTTTCTGTCTGTGAGGTACTTAGCCAGTCTAATGAGACTGGCTGATACAAGTTACTGCAAGGCTGGCTTTCTGCAAAAGATTATTAGCACTGATTCTAAACACAGACGGTAAAAATTGCTGGCTTAAAGTGTAGCACCTGTCATAAAATCTAAGGCTAATTTAAAAATAAAATAAAAGTCAATGCCTTCATCCTCTTAAGTCAGCCATTACCATCAATCCAACCTCAATTATTTTATTTCTTTTAAAAATCTTTTCTCTTAAAAGCTTCTATACAAGCCAGGAAGAACTGATAGTTCTCAACAGTTTGCTTGGTACCACTGCAAGTTCAGTGAGAAGCTCTTCTTTGACAGGAAAGTTTTCAGACACAAGTTTGACACAGATCTTTCAGTCTTATTTGAAACTCATTAAATCACAGAAATCAATAGAAATACCACATTGACTGATTTCTGAAGAAAAGCTCTCATGTGCTATAGACTAACATTTGTGAGACATGGCATATTTGGCATGATTTTTTTCTTAAGCCTTAAATTCAAGTGAAACCACACAAAAATGTTCCCTTTTATGAAAGACTTCTAATCCCTGTAATAAACAGGAATCTAAAATTATGTTTTATGTTACTCATGCATGAAAGCTTCTGTGTTTTGTCAATAAAAGAAACAGAAAGAAGACTCAAAATGTAGTTTTCCCTACACACACTGTTAAGCCGCTCACAGCTTCCAAGTGGTTTAGCCAGTCACTCATCCAAAAATTTCATCTTGCAAAATTTCTCAAAACCTCTCAGGCAGTTTTCAATTTTTTGAAGTAAGGCTTCACATTTTCTAGAACAGAAATCATAACAGAAAGACAACTTTATCTACAAACTTGTTCATCCTACAGAGAGCTCTGTTTGTCCCCCTCTCCCCCCAGCCCCTCTGTCCCAAATATGAAAGGGGAAGGTTAATTTGAATACTGTATTCTGAACAGTAATGGATGTTACAGTAAGAGGTACTAAAATATAGTTTATATTTTAAAGCTTTTACTCAGTGTATACTATGGGATGTAATGAAAGAGGCAAGGAAAAGGTTGGAATAGTTTGCCATGGCTGACATTGAGTTCACCAGTAGGATCAGAAAACAAGCAGGAAAATCCCAGAACCAGCTGTTCCATTTAAACCTGCAAGATTTCCTTTTGCATGCAGAAACCGCATAATATCCTAAATTTATATTGCAAACCTACTTTTCCAAGTGGTCCTAAGTGCTAGAGCTTTGCTCAGACAATCTGTCTTGCAGCCAATGCCTTCTAGCAAGAGGAAGAAGGTGACAGCCAATCCTACACTTCTCACTGCTTCACACACCTATTTGTGCCAACTCCTTCAGTTGCACAACTACCCTTCAGGCCTGGCTGATCAGCAACTCTCCACTGTACGCATCTTCACCCCGTAAAACATTCAGCTACAAGTAACCTACTGGCTCTTAAAAATAAGAGTGTTTGGGTTTACGCATTGGAAAGCTACACATTTTCCTAACTTTATTTCTCCACTGCTACAACATATTAGCACTAGCAAGGAAGATGAGTTGGAAGTCCACACATAAAGCAAGAAGAAGCTGAGGAAGACAGATAAATGGAATTGTGCAATATAACAATTTGCATCTACAGAGAGACTCAATCTCAGAAGTAATGAAGTTTGGCCTACACCCATGCTCAGGAAATAATAAACCTTTATTTTGAAGCAAGGAAGCAGAGAGAAACACTAAGAGCAATCAGAACTTTGCAGAATTGGCCCCTGCAAACCTGGGAGGTCACATTAGGCAGTAACAGTACCTCTGACTATGAGCCCTACAAGATACAGCTTTGCAACAACAAAGTCATCACAGTCTCCTGAAAAAATGTCATTCTCCAGTGATATTTAAGCAGTGCACTACATTCATAGGTAACTCAGCACCATCCCAGGTTTAAAGAATATAATTTTTCTGTAAATCCCATTAAGGGAGAACAGCTAATTTGGCCAAATGCGAGTATTGGCACAAGCACAAATGGTCATGAACATATTTGTGCAGAAGATCAGAGGATTATGGATTTCAGTTCATGCAGTGGAGAAAGAAAAGCTATTAACTTTGAAGATGGACTTAAATCATCATTCAAGGGAGTTTTAAACACAGTTGCCCACAGTGGTAAGGACGTGGAATTAAACAAGTACAAG